CATCATAGTTTTACTTAAACAGACTGCATGCTCGACCCAGGTAGGAATGGCAACGGGTCCCCATTCTGACCCCGATTCTGAAATTAATCCTATTCCCGTTTTTGATTCTCGCCAGAGGTAAAATTTATCCTCCATTCCTAATCTTCGACAGAAATGGATTCCTCGTGGGGACCTGAATTCCCAAATTTTCTTTTAAATAAAAGTATTTAAAAAAAATAAATTTACTTAAATAAATATATATATATATATAAAATTGAGGTCAGGGCGAGACAAGAACCTCAATCCCATCCCTGATGGAAAAATTGCCATCCCTAAACCCAGGCCAGCTTGTTAAATATGTAAATGTAAAATTTAGGCCTGGCCTAGCATGTTGACCTGATCCCACGTTCCAGTGGGCCAATTGGATCCAGCCTCCATGTGCATCTTCACTGGCTCACTGCATGTGTGATGTGTGAAGAAGGGATGCATAAGCATATGCATTTGATAATAGAAGCATGAATAATTTGTCGACTACCTGTCTGACCATATGCATAGTTTCTCGACTCTCTCACTCTCTCCYTCAAAGAAATTCATAAATGCCTCTTGCGCCAAAAATTTAGACCGTTTGATGAATCAATGAGATATATTGAATTGGACCAGTCTAAACTTAATAATCCAAACTATTTATTAGATTGAATTAGATTCAATACATCCATAATAGATTTATATTAGATTAGTTGGATCATATTCAATCAACATCTAATCCATTGATAAAAAATAAGAATACTGCTGATCTATGATTCTCTCTCATATGAAATAGGGACCATATCATTTTTTGCTTCAGACTTTACTCATTGGGAAAATCTACACCGCTGGAAAGACATGATACTACAACCCTCCACCCAACCCCTCACCGTGAATGTTGATAAATACCACCTGATTTTTTACCACTTACTTTTATGATACCAGCTCATTTATTAATAGTTTTTTCTATATTATAGTTGAATCCCGTAATTAATCACCATCATGCATGTATTCTATTTCATATAACGTATTCTTTAAACCAGAACTTACACTTCTTAGCAAATACATATAAAATAATACAAAATACAAGGTTTTGGACCATACATATTTATATTTGTATTACTTCCAAATTAAACCATAATTTCAATTTGAAAGGAATACAAATACAAATTTTAGAGTACAAAACATTATATTTTATATTATTTTATATGTACTTATACTGTAAATATTTGTATGTGTACTCCTAACTGAGCCTTCCATACAAATAAATGAAGCCTAGGGAAGATATTTCATTGGAATTCTTAAAGTATGGACTCAGCTAATAGTAGTTTTTATGCAAATGGATCTACCAACGCATATATCACATGATCAAGCCCAAATCTGCTTTCCATAAAACGCTGGCCACGAAATCCTAGAGCCACAAGTCAAAACATCTCTCATACTTTACATTGTAATTCATGAAAAAATATTCCGGATGTGCGGTTACAGTGTCTTGAGCCCAATATGTGGCCAGCGTTTTGTAGTCAACGGATCCGAATCCCACATGAAGCATGCTACAAAGTCTCTTTCATCCTAAAAGTACAATACAAAGTTGGTCGGAAACGCTTTGAAAGAGAAAAGGGCCAAGATCTAAGTTTTTTTTACTATGCAGCTAGGGGTGTCAATCGACCGGTTTTGATTTGGATCTAATTCGATTTAAATTTTATTAAATCAGATTTGAACGGTCCATTATAATTATTGGATTGGGCCAATCCAAAATAAATTGGTCCATATTCTTATTAGTTTGAATTAGACCTAAACTAAATTACCAATAATTTGATAATGAGGTCAAACCCTTATCCAATTTGAAAACAATCAAAATTGAAAATAACATAAAATCGCTTTTATGAAAGCACTTTTATGAAAATATTTTTATACAAACATTTTTATAAAAGTAATTTTATGAAAAGTACTTTTATGAAAGCACTTTTATAAAAATACTTTTATGAAAGCATTTTTACTAACTTTTTGACTTGGGGGGAAGTTGTCAATACTTGGATGGGACAAAATTGCCCATTTTAATAATATTTTTTTATGGCCAAAATGGTCATTGTCTTATTTATCTAAGAAATAAAAGAACATGAGTAAATGCACTTACTCAGATAGATAACTTCTCGAATAACGGGGCCTTAAAGATAAAATGGGTTTGGACAAAGTTCAAGAACAAAATAAAAAACCAGGTTTGCAAGTAAGAATGGTTTGGGTGGGACAAGACAAATTTGTGGAACCCTGTTCCCCACGAGAATGCGGATGGGATTGGAATTTCCAACCCTGTGGGGGTACAAGGCAAGGATAAGGGTGTGGTATGTTTATTTGAGGTCGGAGAAAGGGCATGCAAAAACTGGCCTCACCCCACCCTAATGCCATTCCTACTTGACACCCTAAATATGGAGGCATGGGATCAAATTGGTGTAACCATATGCTCTCTCTTACATATGGGGTCATGTGCATCTAAAATTAATTTAAGTTTATAAGCAATAATCTATAGCCTTTAAGTATTAAACAAGATAATATCTAATCGATTAACAATTATAAACCTTTTAATTTCAAGTTTCGAAATCCAAAGTTCTCAAATTATTCAAATGACCAATCATAATGTTTTAGAATTTAAAAAACTCTCCACTATTAAAATTATTTTCACATGAGATCATATGATGAATTATTCATATAACTGATATTAGATTTATGGTCACCCAATTATTTAGAATATATTATTCATATAACTGATAATTACAACAGTACATATTCAAATGACCAATCATAATTGATTTGATTGCAAAAAAAAAAAAAAAGAAATGAGACAAAGAGAAATTAAGAACTTTGGTCTTATTGTTTGTTTTTTTACTCTTTTTATTTGGTCCATAATTACTAGGGTAACTCTCTCATATTTTTTTGAACCATAAACATACATAAAATATGTACTTTTGTAATTAAGTCACTTAGTAGTCAACGATTATTTAGGCTTGCACCTTTTTTACACCTCATGGTATGCCTCACCCCTTGGAGACCGGATCTGCTCCTCACACTTAGCGCCTCACATGCACATCCTATCATGCATCGGGAACATTTTAGTTATTATTCATGGGAAATATTCTAATGCACGATGGATGTGTATGTGAGGCGCCCATTTGTGAGGAGCAGATCCCGCTTCCACCCCTTGAGGCTTGAGGCGTATTAGGGGTGAGCACATGGATAGGTTTTATTTGGAATCAAATTGAATTGACCTTGAACCAACTTTGAACTAGCCATACCCAATCTATTACCTGGTAGGGTGTGGAACTGGTCCCCACTTAGGTTAATCTAGGGTCTAGAGGTTTAGTATACCCAAACTGACATGGAAAACTGTCCTTAGAACCAAACTTGCCTTGAAATAAATCCCAATATACTTTAGACTTAGTTTGGAAGGAGCACAAATACAAATATGTAGAGCACAAAAATTTTCATTTTGTATTATTTTGTAAGTACTTGTATACATATTTGTAGTTGTACTGATCTTTCTTGACCACTGAGTCACTTAAGTCATTTGTTAATTTTTATTCAACTTGGGCCATATTTGGTTGAAAAAAGAAGACAGGTTTTCTACCCTTTCCTACCTTTTTCTTTTGAACCAAGCCCAACCTTAATACTTGAATTTGTATAATAAGAAATATAAAAGGTAATATTTATAATGATAAGTTTTGAAAAAAAGGTGATATTTACAAAATTTAAATTACAATAATAAGTTTTGAACTACATATTAATATATTATGATAATATATAAATTAAATTATTCAATTTAATCAATCAACATAATTTAAGTTTTGAAATATATTATATTATTGATAATAAAGTTTTTAAATAACAGTTTTCTTTTGGGAGGGAGGGGGTGTTATATACCGTAGAACCGATCTAACCCCTATAAGGTAAATTACAGGTTTTACGTTAGAACGAAACCAAACTAAACCATGTGGCGTACACAAGGAAACAAGCCTTACAACAAAGTTATTAGGTATAAAGCCTCCATATTTGCGTTACCTCTCAAGGTACGTGTCTCACTCCTAATTTTTTAAAACAATGAATGGTTTGGAGTTTGGACAGTGATTTGCTCTTATTTCTCCCTCCTAATAAAAAACCACTAAAATATTTACCAAGATATTGTACAATACCTTCCACCTGTTTTTTTTTTTTCTTTTTTTAAATTTTATTTTTTTGGTAATAGAACGAATCATTTTATTACACAACTGAACCATTTTATTCATAAGCTTCAATTAGTGTATGGAGCTCACATGGTATCTTCTGGTAATAGAACATTGGAGGACCCTGTGCTTGATTCTGGCCCACGAAGACCTACCGCAGGTGGGACCCATCTAATGCTACAACAGTCAACAGGGAAAACGTGGCGAGATAGATGGGTGGATACCAAGAATGCTGTTGGCTGCGTGGAGAAATCAGCTACTCCTCTTTGAGTAGCGCTGGGTTAAAACCATATTCAATCGTGGCCTTTGATGCATTTCTGTAACCTTAAGTTGGCTATCAAGGGCCGTGATTCGCGGTATTAACCCAGCGCTACTCCACCGGAAGTAGTTGATGTTTGGGCGTCGGTTGCTTAGTGCCGAGTGCCGGAGACGAAACCCCTTTCTAGTGTTGGGCGCGTAAAACACAAAGCCAGAATCAAATATCGCGTAGATACAAACAAAAGCTCCAATATCTCCTGGATGCAGACAAATCCGCTAGGTCCGGTACAAGTGAAAAGACGGGTGAGTAGGGTCCACCTTTACCGGCACAAGTGAAAAGCCAGAATCTTCATGTTCACAACTTGTCCTAATAGCCTGTCCTACGTGTCATACATCAGTATACGTGGAATGCAAGCTGCGGCCATCCTACGGGGAAATGCAAGATAACGACTCGATTTTCGCGTTAACGGGCCCACTTAAGTGACGTGGAAATAGACGTGGCTTCCCTTCCTCATCCCCGAAGCAGCGCCAACGCCAACGCCAACGCCAACGCCAACGCCAACGCTCCCCGCCCGCTCCCACTCCCAGGCCAGCGACCATTTTCACATCAACTTCCAAAATGCAAAAGCTCAAACTACAGCGATAATACACCACCTTTGTAGACTAGATTTCTTGAAGAATCCCTGACGATCTCCTGTCGAATTGTCTCTCCATGTCTACTCTGCAGCTCTCTAGTTGCGGAGCTTTCCATGAAAGCTTGTCTTTCTGCAACTTCACTTCACCCGAGAAGCTTTCTAAACCTGCGTTCTCTTCTTCTCTATGGGGCAGGGAATTGTGTTCAACTAACGGAGGTTTTAAGTTCACTGTTAGACGGAAGCTTCATTTCAGTCGGACGACAACTACTAGGGTTTCCGCTTTGTCCAATGGTCCCTTTAAGATGAATCTCAATGAGTATATGGTAACACTTGAGAAGCCACTGGGAATCAGGTTCGCGCTTTCCGTCGACGGCAAGATCTTTGTTCATGCTCTCAAGAAGGGGGTCCGTTCATTATACTTCATCCAAATTCCTTGATTATTACCTATAATTTCATTGTTAATGGCAACAACTTGTTTCCGTTTGGGAGTGTTCTTGGATTTTTTTTTTCTGCACGGAGGAACTTAATTGATTTGGTTGAAGATCTTGTTATATCGAAACTCGGATGCATCTTTCCAAATTTGCACGATTAGTTCTTCAATTGTTATTCTGGAACATTTAACTTGATTTTGTGGAATTCATTATTCTTTTCTTGGATTGCAGTCAGGTTTATGCTGAGGAGTATTTTGCCATTTAATTTCTTGGTCACTTAAAATATATAGTCCTATTTTGCAGGGCAATGCAGAGAAATCAAGAATAATCATGGTCGGTGACACTTTGAAAAGAGCAAGTAATGTATCAGATGGCAAGCTTATTGAGATGAAAGACTTCGGCGACACACAGTATGGATTATGGAACTTACCTTTTCTTCGTGTTTTAGTGACGTCTAGCCATGAACTTTAAATTGCAGTCGTAATAATATTGTTGTATTGTTAAAATATCACCGGCCATGTTCTGTAGTTAAAGCTGGTGATACACATCTGCCAAGTACTAACAAATAATGGAAACTTCATCTAAACATCTTTTTATTTTCTTTTTATTGCTAGAAACCATATTTATTGTGCTGATAATTATAAGTAAGCAATTTCAAGGAACAAATAATGGAACTCGCCTTTTATTTGTATCTATTCATGTCATAGCGTGTTACGAATAGCAAATTTTCTTTCTTCGTGTCCAAGTGATGTTTAACCATGAACTTTATGTTACGGTGTAATGACATTGTTGTATGGTTAACGGATCACTGGTCATGAATCATTTATCTGTAGTTAAAGCTGGTTGTGCACTTCTGTCAAGTGCTAACTAATTATGAAAATTATATCTAAACAACATTCTTTTCTTTTATTGATAGAAACTGTCTTCAGTGTGCTGATGGTTATGGGTATGCAATTTCAGGGGAGGTAAAATGTGTTTAAGATTTGCATCTTTTCTTCCTTCTCTTCTATAATACATTATTACATACTCAAAATTCTAAATATTTAACATACTCTTCATTTATGCCTGCCTCTGAAATGGATCATAACATTCCACCTATTTGAAAGAACTCCATCATAGAGGCTATAAATTGATTGAGATCCTCTAACTAACAAAACCTTCTTGCACCTTCACATGACATCCATTAAACTCTGAATACCATTAGGATAAAGGCAGTCATTTCTATGGGACTTTCTTCCAATAGGTTATAGATCAGATTGTTGTCCCCAAGTATTTTCCTTTCCAATACCCTGATCCTTAGTTACTAGTTGCACTCAAGGCCATTAGTTCATTAAATTACTCTTCCACAAATTGGTTTTGAATCTAGAAAAGCATGCCAGATTTTTGAACATTTTGTTTTTACTAATATGACCACATGAAGGGAACTCTGACATCTACAGATATGCCACTTTTAATTATATTTCATTAACCACCTCACGAGGCAACTTGTTACCTATCAACCTGAATAAAATTTAATCAAGTCTAAGAGAAGCTTGAGAAACTAAAATAATTTTTAAATCACTGACGTATTTCCATATGTGTCTACCTGTTAAATTACATCATGACAGTAGGAATATGTACTTGCTTTTGTAGATAACAATCAATACTACAAATAGAAAAAAAAGAACTAATTCATGTGAAGTGTTCTACAGAATCTGATGGTAAACCAAAAGTATAGAAAGTGTCTGATCTGATGGAGAAGTCTAGTGTCTAATTTCCACTCGGGAAAGCATTTTCATTTTAATCTGGCTACATGCAGGCACTTTATTTTATATAGCAACTAGGCTTCTACATTTTAATTTCTCTCATATATGCTTCTGCTTCTTTTTTCTTCTGGGTACAAAGAGTTGATGCAAGTTCAAGACATATGCTTGGTGGAATTTTGCAATAAAACAACAATGAGTGAAATTTGAACTGCTTTCTGCTTATAAAATACAAGGAGCCTGGTTAGTTAACATTTAACTACTGATATGGATGGTTAGTTAACATTTAACTACTTATATGAACCTATTCATATTGAGTTGCATCATGCCTTAGGCACGTTTTTAACGAGTTACATGTCTTGGAGCATTCTATTTGCTTGATGGTCTTCAGTAGAATAATGCTTGGTGAAGCATGACCAAATACTGAAGTGTGGCATGATATTTCAAATGGCCTCTATTGTGTATTTGGTAGACAAACTGGTCTAGGACTATCATTCAATGGCCAAATCTCTTGGTTTGGACCATTTGGTTATGACCAAAATCATCTTGATTAAATGACTGACCAAAAAAGACTTTTCCTGGATTTTTCAATCAATAACTTAGAGGTTTAGTGATTTTCTGGATAAATAGAACCATCAATTTGGCTGACATTGCGTTTATCCAAGATTTCCAGTTGGAATCTACATGCTAGAAAGCCTAGGATATACATTGCATTTGTATGAACCACATTGTTTGGTTCCAAAATCAGAGTGTAGAAGATCATGAAACTACTTTATATCTTTATGCATTTTTCCAGCAGTTGATTCTTAATCATGCACCTAGACAGACCATTTTGTCYTTAAAATAGTTCATAACTACATCTAAAATAATTCTTCAGTTGCTTTATTTTTCTTTTTGTCTCATTTGTCTAAGCTCAGCTGGTTACTTGTCTTCAATGCTTCTTCAGGAAGATGCTCAAGGAGAAAACAGGATCCCTTAGCCTGGTCCTAGAGAGACCCTTTTCTCCTTTCCCAATTCAACAATTACATTTCATCAATGATCTTGAGAATATTTTCAACAGAGGTCGGGTTCCTGTGGCTACTTGGAACAGGAATATATTGGCATCAAATTTGCATCCATCATCCGAGGGATGTGGAAATTCTGGTTTTGTTATGTTTTYCACAAAGTTCCTAACATCACAAGGGTGGAAGCTTCTAAATGATCAAAACGGTCGTTCTGATTTGCATATGAAGAACAATGTTTTTCCTGCACCCATAAGCCAATTAGTTTGTATTTTCTCAGAAGAAGAGTCTGGAGATGTTGAGTGGGCTCATGGAAGTTTCCCCTTGGAAGAATATATTAAAGCACTTGATCGTTCTAAAGGCGAGCTATACTATAACCACTCTCTTGGTATGCGGTACAGTAAGGTGCGATGATCTATTTATTTTATGCACTACAGTGGAGAAAAAGGAATTTATCAATTGTTCAATATGATTAAAGTGTTAGTATTTAGCTATTTTTCAATTATTGGTTATGTACTTATTGTTTTTTGGGTAAGGTTTAAAAAAGCATACAAGTCTTTATACAATGTTGTGACTCATTTTTTCATAGTCCATTGAGATTTTATAGAACGATGCTCTTTTCAAGTGAACCAATGTTGTGATTCACGTTTTGATTTCTTGTGATGGTGTTATTCCAATCCCCACCCTTAGTTCATGGAATAAATTTTTTTCCCAGAAAACATTTTCATGTGTTCAAAMTATGCTCTCTTAATGGGCATTTTAATTTAATCCAATGTTTATCAATGCAAGAAAGATTCAAATCTCATCATATACTTAGATCCTACCTGTAAATGGTCATTATTATTGGAACATGTTGGATTTACAAGACCTTGGTGTTGTTGCATAGATAACTTAATAGCCTATACAATGAGACCAAAATCATGCAAACTAGAGAAGTTTTGACCCTACAAGATAAACTAAAAGAAGTGATGTAATTGCAACTTCAAGTTTTCAGGCTTTTTTTCATGCTCTCTAATAAGACTTTTTAAACTAGTTTGATCCTTATTAGCCCTATTGATATGAAACCCATAAACTAAGGAAATAACTTTCAAAAAACTTAAATTTACCAAAAGGCAGATAACCCAAAAATTACAAAATTGCTAATGATGCAAGAATCTGAAGGAACTAAATTTCTTTTTCGCATGGTTTCTTTCCGTTTTTCCATGCTTGCATCATTAATGCTTCCCTAGATCACTTCCCTGGCATTGCTATACCCAGTGTTTTGCAGACTTTTGTAGGTGAAGACATGTCCATGTTGGGCATGTTTCAGTTTTCAAAAAACCATGGATTCCTGTTGGACACTTCTGGAGTATGTATTCATTTCTGTTTCTTGCTTGTTTGAAATGAATGGGAATATAAATTATTCATTCCATCTTTTGGTATAAATGTTTCCTGATAAGAATAATATACATGTCTATGTGTACATGTGTTCATAAGGCGCTAGCTAGCCTGCTAGTAAAGTTTTTGGCTGGTTGTAGCCAGTGTTTTCAAAGGCGTGGGAGGCGTCTCCAGGCGAGGTGCTCCCAAAACGCCTTGAGGCGTATGCCAGAGGCGCTGACACCTCTGAGGCATACGCCTCTTGCGCTTTTTTCATGAGGTGTGCTAGAGGCGTACGCCTCATGCACATCTGATATAAAAAGACAGAAAAAAAAGTAAAGGAAAGGAAAGGAAAAGAAAGGGAAGGGAAAGAAAAAGAAAGAGAAGAAAAAAAAGAGAAAAGGAAAGGAAAGGGAAGGGAAGAAAAGATAAGGGGAAAGAAAGTGGTTTGCCCCTTGCCCCTTCAGACTAATGCTATGCATCTTTATTCTTCTTAATATAAAAGATTTTTATTAAAAATAAAGAAAAAATGAGATCCCCCCTTCCTCTTCATCCTCCTCCTAACCCCCCTCCTCTTAAGGAGGCTTACGCCTCCTTGTGTTTGGGAGACTTGCGCCTCTTGCGTTCTGCACTATGCCTCATGCCTCTAGGTAGTGGAATGCCACACGTCATGCTTCCGCGTTTTAAAACATTGGTTGTAGCGGAGACCTAGGAATGAGTCAGGCCTTTGCCCAGGTTGGGAGGGTCTAGGGATTTGGGGGAGGGCTACCCCCCTGTTGTGTAGCCCATTTTCCTACAAAAAAAATGTGCAAACGTGTTCATTGTTCATTAGTGAAAATTTCCTGAACTGCRTCCTATAAGATGTTTTTTTTTTTTTTCAAATTTCTTGTTAGATTCCGTGGTATGCGTTCATTGTGTTGGATTCTGATGCTTGTATTTGTATTTATGCAACATCCAACCTAAGTGGGTGAACAACATAACTCCTGTTCCTCCATTCCACTATGCTTTATGCCATATCTTCTGTTAAAGAATGAAAATGTAATCTAACCAGTATTGGGTCCTATTTGATCCATTAGACTGACAGTTATGCCCTTCACGCTTAGTTTAGCAGATCTCATTTTACTATTCATTTTTCTGTTGCTGATGGTTTTGATACAGATAACAGAGCAAATATATGTTGGATCATGCATACAAAGAGAAGCAGATGTGGAAACTCTGTCTAAAGTTGTGGTATATGCTGCTGCCCTTGTTGTTGTTTCAGTTCAGTTGTCTTGCACTTTGGTCTATAATGTTAGAAATCCATGTTGTTGAGATCCAAACTTGTGAATTCTTCTTCTTCTTCTTCAAAGAAAAAAAACATAGAGCTGTTACAGTGTTACTATACAAAAGGGCCTCACCAATCCCAGATTTAGAAAGCCTATTAGCCATATGGTTAAATTCTCTCTATCCTAAAAACTTAAAAGATGCATCACTGAAGAGGGGATGGAATAAAATACCTTAGGAAACCATCTATCCTAAAGAATTCATATATACTTGAGAATTGTTGCTGAAATATCTTCTTATCCATAATCAGGATCCTTAAAGAATCTCAGATTCAATTGATCCTCCCTCATTGCTGTCATATAAATAAGGACAATAACAAGTTTGGACAAGCTTAATGCAAATATTGATAAAGAAAGGTTGGCTGATCAAAGGTACAGTTTCATCATTTGTAGAGAAAGACAAAGACTTTGTTCATTCAGGCATTTCAGTTCAACCAAGAGATATAGACTTAGAAGATTATGTAAGACAGAAAATTCTGACACTTAGTAAGAAATTCCGAAAAAGAAAAGAAAGGTTTAATAAGAATTTTCAATATTCTGACTGAGGTGGTAAATGGTCCATGTGATTGGAAAGGACATGATAGTGGCTCTCAGACTTGACAGTGGACCAAAAATAGAAGGCTGCTGCAGTGACAGAAAATTCCAACACAAATCTTGACGAAAATATTATATGCTTGGAAAGGGTGTTAACCCATATCATACCTTTTCTAGTACACGTGTAGGTTCTGATGAAGACATCATCATTGAATAGTTGTGGATTTTACGTTCTGAATTTGTATATTTTCATCCTTTAAGTCATAGTTCTAAAGCATGTATTTTTTATTCTAGTAAATTTAGTTTCTTTGTGCAGTATGAAACCAAATTTGCATCTTGATTCTGCTATTATCTATCCGTCCTGCATACTTCATTATTATATTCTTTTCCTTTTTTTCTATTTCCTATTGATACACTGGAATGTTCATTTCATGTGTGGTTCGTGATTTTTTGTTCAATGTTTTCATTAATAACAGTTAGGGCATGTTGCACCAGGGAGTTACTGCTATCCTGAACTTCCAGAGTGAAATTGAATCTACAAATTGGGGAATCAATTCCAAATTAATCAATGATGCATGCTATCGACTTAATATCCTTATGATCAACTATCCAATAAGGTAATTGATATTTATTTCATATACTTATTGATTATATTTAGCAGGTGAATTTTGGCATCCTCTTTTTTGGGAGTTAAACACTTAATAGAAAGTAGAATTATTATTAAGTCCTGCATTTCTTATCACCATCTTTATRGTCCCTTCTAGATGGGAAATGGAGATTATTGGGTCTATTTTTCACCAGATATATTTCCAACTTAAAGGTCTGCCATTTCATTTATGTGATTACAGGTGTTGAATTGCTAAGACTGTTTTAATGACCAAAAACATGTATTTTCTATTCTATTGAAATGCATGTCCACTGCTTGCATTTTTTTAACATTCCTTTATTCTCTTTAGCATTTAGTTCTATTTAATTATTAATTGTTGCAATTTTTAGAAACATGATGGAGGGTTAAGGCAAGGTGTTTGGACCCTTAGATTCATGAGGTGTAAGCCTCAAGACATGGGGCTTAAGTGTCATAGGTTTCCAGTTTTTAAGAAAGATATCAAACTAATATGAAGTATAGAAATATTCCATAAGAGGATATATTTTTTTATACAATAAAAGCATATAAATGAACAAACAACCATATAAAAGGAGTTGAGAATATTAGGAGCTTTAGAAGAAGCCATCACATTCTTACAAATCATTTAATAACTATTAAGAAGCTCTAAATGTTAAAATAATGCCTAAAAATGGCTTTAAATATGTAAAAACATATATATGAGGACTTATATCCATAAATATACATATACCCATATACACATAAAGGGCACCTCAAGGAGTGATGAATGAACTTGATACTTTCAAGGGTGTGCTTGAAGATTGAACCTTGAGGTGTTCTCCTTGACCCTCACTTTGAGGTGAGCCTGAAGGCTAAATTAGAGTTTCTAAGGGGAGATCTGAGTTCTTATGTCGAGTCCATAAACAGAATCATTATATTTGAAAAAAGGAAAGTTGGTTGATAAGTGAAGTTTGGTTTATTAAATTCTTGGTTCTTGTTGTCTATTTTTTTTTTCTCTCCTTTTCCTTTCTTAGTTATTTCTTCTTCTAAGTGATCTGTCTACTTGTCATTAATCCTAATAGCAATGGTGGTTTTCCTTCTTTCTAATCTTTTACTCATTCTTTGGTGGGCAGCAAGCTGTCTTCTTGCTTCTCCATCTCTATTCTTCATCATTAATTACCCAAATCAGCTTTCTTCACCCTACAAAGCTTACTGCTAGATCTGAAAGTTGTAGGACTCCCTACCTGTTCCTATCGGTCTCATATTATTTTTAAAACATTCAATTGTTGAACTTACTGGCTACTGCCATAGTGTCATAGTCAAATATTATTTGTATGTTTTGAAAACTTGCAGATAATGACCTCGATAATTTTCAGAATAATACTTTTCATTGTATCATATTAAGTGGTACTATTTATTTCTTTGCAGGGAGGTAGATTCATTTGACTTGAGGAAGAAGCTTCCATTCTGCGTTGGTCTATTGTTACGGTTGTTGAAAAAGAACCTTCGAGTTTTTGTGACCTGTACCACTGGGTTTGATAGATCCCCAGCTTGTGTAATTGCATACTTGCATTGGATGACAGATACCTCGCTTCATGCTGCTTACAATTTTGTCACTGGATTGCATGCATGCAGGCCAGACAGGTTGGACTTGCAAACTTTATGCGATACCACATATAATGGTTACTGCCAACGGTATAGGGACTTACTCAAACAAAGCCCAGAAAGACCCAGGATGATGCTGATGCTCCCAATTTAAACTCACTGAGAATTTGGGACTGCATGGCCTTTTTTCAATTAAATGAAGTGTATAAAATATTGTTTGAAAAATAATGTCACTCAAGTCGATATTACATGTACATGATGACTGAAGGTTCTCAGAGTGTATCTATCTTGGAACTGAAATCTTTTCTTTTGATGTTAACTGATGCATATTTAGCTTATTGTGTATATGTAGAATATTTCGTTATATTCTGCTAGAACTTTGATCTGATTCTTGTTAACTGCATATACTTCTGTTTTAGGAAGTTGTGCAACTTACATCTTATAGCTTACCCCATATGGTTGGGATAAGGCATGGATGATGTGCAACTTGCATCTTATGCTTTTGAAAGATGAACTGCAATATTAACTATTTTAGTAGTGTATGCTTTTCCATAGATGTTTCCACATGTCCATGTTTTCTCACCTTGCCAAGTCATCCTTTTGGATGCATGTTGGAGTGTTCGTAACTAATGATCAAGAGTGAGTATGAACATGATTACAACATCTGCAAACAGGAAACTTAGTGGGAAATACCAGAACAGAGATAAATACATATAACCATACAACCACAGCTGGGATGAAGCCCCAAAAGAGCAGGTTTACAAGTCTGAAATACATAGAAACTAGCAGAAGCTTTATGGAGATATCAGCACTCAAGTTAAAACAGACCTCATCATTGCTAGGCTTTCCCGTAGCAAGACTATTTGCAAATGAATTGATGGTCATGGATCCATCTAAACTATAGATTCACTCTGGAATCCAAGTCTCTCACCTCCCTGATATGATGCATTGAACAATCAAGGTAACAGGCCATCAAAACCATTTCACATCCATCCAATAAACACTTGGTGAATCTCCCTTTGCCTTGACTTTCTCAAAGCCAAGATAAAATATTAATATGAGGCCTTGGAGTAATGAAAAAGCAGAGCTTCTATTTCTACATCAGTGGCTACAAGGTAGTTATGAGTTACTATTTCCTCTTTCTCAGGCCAATCTTTGTGTGTATTACCATGTAAGATTTTAAGATTTTGTGCTTGGTCTTCCTATTGCATCTTCAATTCAAGGGGTTGAGTGCTTTCTAACACAATTTATGTGGTCTTGTATCCATACTCCTTGATTTGGACAGCTCTATATTATTGTTGACATGGTTTTCTTTAGATATGGCTGCAATATTCTGGTCTCATTTATTGGAGGTGGATAATGGTGTTCGGACCAGCCACTTTTTGAGATCTTTCCATCCCTTTTTGCATTGATTCTAGTAAGGATGGGGCGGTGAAGGAGTTTATGGAGGTGGCTAATGGTGATCCGGTGTGGGCTCAGATTCCAGAGGAACCTGAATGATTGGAAGGTGGAAAAATGGCTATTTTTTTCTACTAAATTTTGTTATAATGCTCTGTGGGGGCCATGTGTCAAGATTGCTTGGTCTTGGATCTGGAAAGCCCATGTTACATCCAAGATTTCTTTCTTTGTGTGTCTAGCTGGTAGGAAGAGGATTCAGACTGTGAATGCCTTAGCAGGACATGGTATGGTTTTAGATGGCACCTGCTGTTTGTTTGGACAAGCTTCAGAGTCTGTCCATCACCTGCTAATCCATTGTTCATTTACTTATCAGGTGTGGTGCCACTTTGTTAGACTCTTTCAAATCCAATGGGCTCCCCCTCGTGCTATAGCTGATCTGTTATCCCCCTGGAGAATGGGTATTCTCTTAGCTAAAGGGAGATATCCATGGAATTGGCTTCCTTTTTCCATCAGTTGGGCAGTTTGGAATGAGTGGAACCTTGGAACTTTTTAGGCTAAATCTGATCCTGTGGAGGCAACCATTGGCAAGGTGGAATGGACATTGAGACAGGCCGGTAGTTCAAAGCTTTTTGTGGGAAGCAGATAACCATTTTGTGGATCAATAGATTTCTCATTTTTTGACTTCTTTTGTATAGGTTCTGAATGTTCATGATCTGTGCATAGTTACAGACACTTCTTTCTACATGCTTTTGACGGTTTCTCCCCCTCCTTTATAATTTATATTAATACTTTTACCAGTTATTTGGTCTCATTTAGGTAAAAATAAAATTTGGAAAGAGCAACAAATAATGTCTTTCACCTTAAACTGTTGGGTGGTGTGATGTTTGGAATTGTTTTTCTAATTATGAATAACTGCACAATCAGAGTTTTAATGATTAATTGCATCACCAAAGATTCTACATTGAAATTATCCATAGAAACATGTTGGCATCATGAGAAGCCACCAGTAGTATCATAAATATTGCCCATCTTGACCTCAAAAAAAAAGCTATTCAATATCTACACTACCAAAGAGGATTTGGTTATATTGTTCTGGTATTAGGACAGCAATTTTCTTGATCCAAGTTTATCTTTTGAATAAATACACTGTAAACAGAACTTTTATTTTTCTATTTGTCTGAGTTACTGCAAGCAGAAATTCTTACCTCTATGTATTAGTTTATAAAAGCATTATGTTGGGCATCTGAATGCAGACCAGCAATTGCCTGGGCAACATGGGATCTTATAGCTATGGTGGAAAAAGGGAGGCATGATGGACCTGCATCTCATGCTGTGACATTTGTGTGGAATGGACAAGAGGTTAGTATGAACTTCTTTGTTCATTTCAAAGTTAAAATCACACCCACCTCAAAATAAAAAAAAAGAAGATAAAATAAAACGAAGAAGGCTAAACTTTGAGACATGATAAAATTCGTAAGATTCACCCTATTATCATTGCAAATGATTTAACACTTTTGCAGGATTACAGGACTGTGAATGCTACTATTGTTCTATATCACTTATTTCATTCTTCTGTTTATTATAGGGAGAGGATGTATACTTGGTTGGAGATTTCACAGGAAATTGGAAAGAACCAATTAAGGCTGTCCATAAAGGTGGCTCAAAATATGAGGTTGAAGTCAGACTTACACATGGGAAGTAAGTTTCACCGAGTTCTATTACCTCTTTTTTCTTCCTCTGAAAAGTCCAAAAGTAAGTTTCCTATTTGACATGCCCTACTCTACCTGGCTCACAAATATCCTATAAATTTATATTCATGCACCTAGGATTTTACCAGTCATTTGATTTGACTAAAGATTGACTTTATATTACTATGCATTGCATTTGATTTTACCGGTCATTTGATTTGACTAAAGATCGACTTTATATTACTATGCATTGAATTTTTTCTGCACATTTCTATTTCCTTGTTCACATGCTGCATTTCTATTTCCATATATTATTGATGGCATCTTATCACCAAGGGAGTAGGGTGCAACTTCTGCAGGCTTGGGTTGAGCATTAGTTAAAATTTGAATGGGACCAGGCCCCTGATGCAGTGTAAATTCTTGAAATTGGGTACCCAACTTCCATCCCTACCAGGGAGAATCTCATATTTTGCTTGTATTTTCATTATGTTAGTTACTTAAGACAGATGGCAAGAGAGGTATCCATCTGCTTGTGCTTGATTCTTCAGACATTTTAAACTTGAGAGAATTCTAAGTTCTTATTACTCAAGTGGGTTGTTGATATTTCATAGACAGAATAAAGTTTTGAACAGCATGAAATATGAGGTCCTTTGAAGGATGAGGACAGGGTAGGAGGGTTTAGGTTTAGGAGATTGAAATTAAGCAGATTTCAGATGAGAAGTACATGGTGGGTTAAGCTACATATGAATAAAGGAAGAATAGAGCAGTCATACCTACACTGCCAATTGCCTAGCTCTTTGAAACAGCGAGATTGAATTGTCTAATCTTTTGAAACAACCTAGCTACCAGGCAGCTGTTTTTAACAATTGGAAGTATATCAGTATCGGTCTGATATGTTGCCAAGTACACATGTAGGCTACAGCCATTTAGGGTTTTATTTAATGTTTACTTTACAACATTTAAATTAGAAAGGGAGACAAAATTTGTGCTTTTTAGCATTTTGCTTGGTTCCTTGGGCTAAAGTTGCTAGTGACTGGAGAAAGTGGAGCTGCAGGGAACATGAATCTCATCTGTTCTTTTACCTGAATAATGTAGGACTGCATGCTCTAACACCAATAGACCGGTATCAAACTAATGAAAGAGCAATTGCTCTGATACTAATGTTGGATGGAAATGGCCCAAAAATGAGACTAGGAGAGTGACGATGGTGTGAGGAAGGTTTAGAGTTGGTTGTAGGACTAAAAGTAGGGATTCATTGGGTTTGGAAAAGTTCTGGTCAAATTGTTGAGAATTGCAAATTCTTTGTGGGATGGTGAAAATATAGAAAATTCAAAAACCAAGTGTTGGGATGAATTTTTTAACAAAACTTATCATGATGAATGTATGTGTTGTGAAGTGAACTCAAAAAAGTATCAAAGAAAACAAGAGCAAAAAGAGAATAGACAAGATTTACAAGGTTCAGCATATTGAGCTTATTATGTCCATGGAGGATCCTTGTGAAAATTTCACTATTTCTCAATCAACTATTACAACCCTATCAAGAATGCAAGTATTTATATTTCATTGAGTTAAGGTTTTTCTTTTTTTTGGTATTCCAATTATACTCCTGTATGGACATTGTACAGACAAATTTCACTGACATTCCCTAGGTTCCCAACACCTTCAGTGTGAACCATGCTGAGTATCTTGTACAAGCTGGAGAGGTTCTGCTCCTCTCCAGCTTGTTTACTTTGCTCACTTGCATACACTTTGATAGAGCCCCCCTTTGCTAATGCTGTTTCCTTGTCCTTAATACAAGGCATCCATTACCAACAGAGTGGTGGCTTGGTTGGCATGTAACTGGGAAAGCCCCAGACCTGATGTGGTTTCGAGCCCCGCTACTAACAACTCCAAATCCACCTTTGTGAAAAAGTATAATCGTGCTAGATAAAGAATTGCGGTACTATGCCACGGGAATTGGATTATGGCCTCTATGGGGGTAAAAGGCGAGTAATCAATACCAAAAAAAAAAAAAACAAGACATCCATCGTAAATATGAAGCAATTTAATTTGAAGGCACTAAACCTTTGGGCGTTAGTGCATTATAGTTTTTCATTTTGTTCTTGAGTGTGTTTTGGATTTTGTAGCTGGAGCTGCTCAATGTAGCATGCTAGCGTGCATAGTAGTTTTTCATTATGTGTCATAGGCTTTACATAAAAGGATGAAGAGCTCCCTTTATGAGAAATTGACATACTTTTCAAAACTAGGGTTTTAGGTGGAATTTTGGGATGAAATACGGTAGAATGAATGGTGATTTGAACTTATGGGGGGAGAATAAATATAAGGGCATTCTGAAGTGGTTTGGCACAAAAAGGATGAAGCTTGCTAAAGAAGAAAAACTTTGGATTTTGATAAAAACTTGAGGAAAGACTTAGATGATATGATGATGTAAACTTGAAAATTTTGCCTCGATTAACTTTAGTCCTTGAGAGATGAGTGAATTTTTAATGAAGACTGGGATGTTAATGGCTGTAATGGCTGCTTGCAGGATTAAAGAGAAGATAGAGAAAAAGAAGAAAAAGAAAGCACAGAATCAGACAACAGGCACCTAAAATCACTCTTATGGTTTATGAGAAGCATTTACCATAACCATTGACTCAAATATGAATCATTAAATGATACGTAACTAAACTATGATTAGACAAATCAAACTCTTAGGCTGCAACCCCCCCTCCCTCCCATCATGCAAAATTATCAAAATTCAAAATACCCCATTGTCTAAAATACATAAAATGTTCAATGTTGATTCTCCGGATTCTGCATCACTGTGTGCTAAGGTAGGAACATCAATGGTTTACCGAAGAAAATAAAGAATTTTGGCAATAGTTCATTCAGTACTTAAGTAGTTTGAATCTGGAAGAGGGGAAGGGGCTGATGGTTATTTTATTCTGGCTTCTTTTGGTCCAGTGGGAGAGGTTGATGCATCATTAGTCCTGGGCCAGTGGGCTTTATCATCGCCAAAGTAAAAGGGTTTGGACACATTTTAGTAGAGGGTCATTCAAGCTATGCTGTTATTAGTCTGAGGTGAAGTTGTAAATTTYCATGGAGGATGCCTCACTGCATTAGGGAGATGCGTTTTTGGTAACAACGATGCTTGTAAAATGGATCTCAAAGGAATTTAATGATTTAGCTGATTCTTTGGCTAGAAATGGGATGGGGAGAAAGTGATTGTATGGTATTAACTTGATACCATTCTAAAGCTCATTTGAAGTGCTTTTGCTTTCTACCCTGCTTTTTCTGTGTTGTATAGTCTTTCATCCTTGATGCAACTTTGCTGTTATGCATAAAARTAAAGAAAAATGGAAGAAAAAGAAAGAGACAAGTCTTTCTCATTGGACTTGAGTCTATGTTGTCTTTTCTTACTGGAGTTGATATACCTGTTGGGGTTGTCTCATTGATAGAGTTCTTCAAAGATATTTCATTACAGTCTAAGAACCGTTAAAAATACCATTATATCACTTTAATTCTTTGGTCATTAATTCTGAAAATTCCAAGCTTTTGTGTGATCATCATGTAGCAAAACATTTGATGACAGCTTACTCTCCAGAACAATATGAAGTACTTAAACTGTAACTTACTTTGTGTACTCTGGAATCTGGACTAGAACAACGTGCAAGTACTTAAATTGTAACTGTAACTGTAACTGTACTTTTGTGTGACCATCATTAATTTTATTTCTATAAATTTGTAATATAAATTGCTTTCAGGTACCGCTATAAGTTCATTGTCAATGGGAATTGGAGGCACTCAACCTCTTCACCAACAGAAACTGATGAACGGGGAAATATCAACAATATAATTATGGTGGGAGATATTGCCAGTGTAAGGCCTTCTTTTCAACACCAGACAAAGGTAAGCCTGTTTTGGCAGCTATTCTTATTTTACTCTCCTATTTGAGTTTCTAAACTTTTTTTTTTTTGATAAATGAGTAAAAAGTTTTATTAATCCAACAGATAAGAGTTATAGGCAACCCAAGGAAAGGCATGAGATGCGACCTTTCCTTTAAGATTGATCACAGAATTACAATTTCAAAATGAACAGGAGTTAACCATTTGACTTTTTTTAAGGAGATCTCTATAGCCCCAGACCACAGAATCCGGATTCAGAAACCACCCCACAACCACCTGAGAGTCCCCTTCAATAAGCAAATGCTCTATCCCCACTTGGGATCTGCTACCCACTAGTTGTTTCCACAGAGCACCACCACTGTGTATTGGGAATATCTCCCCATGAATGACAAGGGAGATATTCCCAATGCGCAGCTCTAATGTATCGTGGGTAGAGATGTGGGAACGGCTCATGGGTAGCAGATCTGAGCCCCTCTATCCCTAGCTGGTTTGCAAGCTGGATTCCTCGTATAGCAGCAAGCAGTTCAGCCGTTGTAGTCTCTCAGACTCACGGACCTGAATATAAAGAGATGATACTATTGTGGTTATTTCTTAGAACTCATCCTATGCCCAAAGGTCCAGGGTTACCTTTTTGTTTTTTGATCAATAACAAAACTTCATTAATCAAACAAAATAATTAATTACAAAGAGGGGGAGATAAACTCTCTTAACTCCCCTAACAGAGGCTAGAGCCCCCAAAAAGAGAAAAACCAGAATTACAACTGAGCCCAAAATATAGATTCCCTGATCACCCCTTGCTTGGCTAACCCATCAAGCAAACGAGTTAGCAGGTCTCTTCACCCAACTGAACTTTATTTCCATGTCCTTAACCAACCATATGAATTTCCTCCTTTCATTGTTGTAGTTCCATAACCCAATATTGTCTTCTTTCAGCCACCCTACCACCACCTCTGAGTCTCCTTCAATTACAAGCCTTCTAATGTTCATATCCTTTGCCCTTAGGCACTTTCCAAGACCACAAAGATCTCAGCCCTGAGAGAGTCACCTACTCCAATTGGTCCTGTGAACAAGACTGAAACAGTCTCATTCTAGTCCCTAAATACACCCCCAACACCTGAATGCCCAGGATTCCCTCTATTACTACCATCAAAGTTCAGCTTTATAAAACCAGTGGGGGGGAGGGGTCCAAGACAGACTTAGCCCCATTTTGACCTGGGCACAGCTAGCAATCTCTCCATTTTCCCAGCAGATCATTCACTGTAAAATCCTCCCCAGGGTTACCTTGGCTACTCCCATCAAAGTTCAGCTTAATAAAATCCTCCCCAGGTGGCATCCATTCTACCAAATATCTGTTCATCCTGGTAGAAGTATTAGCCACTACTAACCAACTCTTCCAAAGATCATTGAAGGAATAGGTATCAAAAAGGTTTAATGTTTTCAGCCACTGAATTGCCCTTGTCAGAACACAATCATTAACTTCCGAAAACCTTCTTTGGAAAAATAAACTATGCTTATTCTGTAGCAAGCTACTAGAACAAAGTACCAGCATTCTACATTCTATTGCAGTTGATTTTCTGGTTTGAATGAAAGTTCTTTGAATTTTCTGCTCTTGTCACTTGGTTATTTTAAATCATAAAAATTTCCAACACTGTTCCCAGATCTGCAACAGCTAAGATCCATTGGACCGGGGGGGGGGCAATTAAATGTTTTGTTTTAAGGGGATTGGATGATATCACTTTTCTGCTAAAGAAGCATTATTCATTTCCTTTGTAGGACCCCTATTTTACTGGATTTGCACCTTCTAGTTTAATCTCCAATAGTTCCAAGTTTTACGCTTCATATTTTCTTCTAGGCATTTTAATAATTTCTAGTGATAAGTGGACTGCAATCCACCTCAGAAATCTGAAATTGCAGCCCCCTCCTAGTCTACTAGTAGCCCCCCCCCCATAAACCGCATCCTGCCCATGAATTTGGCATCAATCCACGGGCAGGATTCAGTCCACCCCTAGAAATCCTAGCTCCACCCTAGGGGTGGACTGAACTATAAAAACCCCTAATTTCTATTGTCTGCCCTTTAAGCCCCGTACTGTAGGCACCTTTAGCAAAGGTGCCAAATGGAAGGTAAAGAAAACGTTCATAGGGTGTTTTACCATCATCTTGCATGGTCCCTTGATTTAGTCTTTTAAGTTTGTCTTCACTGGCACCAGGTTGATGAAGTCTATAGAATAGATGCTAACTATAAAAATAGTACAAGGTAATTTTGAATTATATTTCTGCATATATTGATTTATTTCGTTATCTGCTCTTAATGCTGTAGGATACCATGATTGTGAAGGTGATTGAGAGGCCATTGACTGAAATTGAACGATTCATGTTGGCAAAGGCAGCTCGATGTGTTGCATTCTCCATCTGTCCTGTCACACTAGCTCCAAAATAGCTGCACTTGATCAATGTTCAAAATATCAGTATCATGTATCATATCGGTAAGTTTGTAAATGGATACATATCGTGATGGGTATGAATGGAAAAATCATAAAAACGATACCAAAGTTTTTAAAACAATTTTTGTTGTATAACACTAAATTTATCAGGGAAACTTCTATAAATCCCATAAATACAATTTTTTTGTTGTATAACACTAAATTTAAGGTTGAAAAAAATCATAAAAACGGTACCAAGGTTTTTAAAACCGAACCAGACAACGAACTGGTCAGGGGTCTGGTTCTCAGGTCGAACAGTCCAACCGTTCAAACCGAATGATGGCCCATTCTGACAAAAAAATAAAAAAGGCCAAAACCGTTAGACGGTTCGAATGCCTGGGTCAATGTTTTGCTGACCAAATCAACGGTTTTTGGCGAAATAACGGTTCTAGGGTAAAACGGAATTTTTCTGGTCCGGTTTTGAAAACTATGGTATAAACATATAATAAATGCATACTTTAATAGTTTATATGAGTAAACATATTACAATCAATAAATATTGGAGAATAGGTATCACATACTTTTTCAATTTTCCTAATTTTTCGGGGAAAAAGACATAAATATACTAATAGAAGCCTAAATTATTACATATCTAACCAGAACTTTAACATACATATAGAGGTGTAAAGTGGGTTGTGTTGTGTTTGCAGGCCCCACGTGCCTTAGTGAGTCGTGTTGTGTCATGTGGACCTAAGTGGGTTATGCTTGCCTAGCCCAGAACCCCTAAAAGGTCAGGCCTAGCATGGCCTATGGCACGAGCTCAGGCGGGCCCTTGCTTAGCCAGGTCGAGTCTTTTTTTTTGTTTTTTCATTTTTACTAAGTCCAAAGATGATACAAACTTTGGGAAAAAAGTAGAAATTTGACAAAAAATACTTGGCAAAATACAAAATAGACAATGAATTGAAAAGAAAATTTTAAAATTTTTATTTCATTTGAATTTAATGATTACAAAGTAAAAAAAAAGTAAATTGAAAAAATACAATGGAATATTAGAATTGGAATAAAATATAAAAATAATATAATAAAATTGAAAATAAAAATTTATGGTGGTATTGAAAAAATAACAAATAAGTAACAAATTTTAAATAAAATTGAAAAAACAAAATTTACAATAATTTTAAAAATGCTATACAATTATTGAGTATACAAAATAACTTCATTGTTTTCTTCAATTTTTACCTACATCTCTTTGACCTTGAGCTATATCATTTTCTTCTAGTGAAACATCAGTTGAAGTGCCATGCCCTCAAGCATATACACATCTCCAAGCTTTCATCGTTTTATATAGCTTCTCAATTAAGTTTAATAAATGAACTTGATGATGAAGTGACAATTGATTTTTTCCTTTTATTTATTAATGACCAATTTTTTTTTCTCTTCCACTATTAGAACTAGATGTTTCAATAGTGGAGGCTATACCTGTATAAATTCTCCTATGTCATAATTATTAAGATTCATATAAACTGTATATTTCAAATAATAAATTATTAGTCTTATCTAATTTTGTTCCAAATTCAGTTCTCATATTTTCACAATAAGATTGAAGCAAAACATTTAAACCATCTTTTATAATCATAGGATCTAATATTGTAGCTAAGCAATATAGAGGATAAATATTTTTCCAATATTTTTTAAATTTAACTTTTATTATATCAATAATATTTTGAAATTTTAAATTATTTCTATATTTTGAAAAATGTTCACTAATTGTAAATAAATGATTAACTAAAATGCAAGAAGTTAGGTAATAAACACCCAAAATTCATTTAAAAAATTTGAAAAAAAAACTTTTATACAAGCAACAATTTCCTAATTGTCATCGGTTATAAAATTATAGGGCATTTTCTCATTATAAAAATTAATAAGAATATCTTTGTATGAAACACAATTCTTTAACATAGAATATTTGGGAATTCCACCTATGTTGAACATTTAATACACAATTTCTATATTTTAGACCATATTTTTGACATAAGTATTTAAGTTCTTTCTTTTTGTACCAGAACTTTTAATCTAATTTTAGAAATATAACGAGAAATAATATTTAAAGCATTTTGAACACATAAGATGTGACATGCACATCTAAAATGAAATAATTTACCATTTAAGCATGGTTTAATTGATATCTTAAAATATTTATTGTTGAATCAATATTATTGGCATTATCAAAACTAATAGGAAAAACTTTATTTTTAATTTCGTATATATGTAAATTATTTAATATACTTGCAACAATAACTGGGCCCAAAGTAAATGTTTATCAATAAAATGCCCTATAACACAAATACAACTTATATTTAGAAGTTCAAATATCAAATGTAAATGCAATTTTAGAATTTGACAAAGTATAAATTAAATTTTGTTTATATGAATAAAAAAATTTTAAAGCATTTTCTATAATTGTATTTCTAGAAACTTTTTTAAATTGGGGATTTACTAATTGTTGTAAAAGTCTTTCTAACCTTAGGGTCTTTAGCGAATAAAAATAATTGTTCAGCATGTATAATATGCTTATCTAATTTTTCTCATTTTTTCTTAGAAATATTGAAAATTACTAAAAAAACCATGACCAATTTGTGATTAATTTTGACTATCATTATTTTTTAGATGAGTGGTCATATGTGTAACCAAATGGCTATTACCACCTTTACTGCTATAACTAAAATCACTCTTACATTTATTGCAAATAGTTTTTTTTTTTTTCTTTCCCCTCGACAATTTTGATAATAAATATTTCCCAGGCTGGGCTAGGCAAACTTTTTCTTTCCCTGGTAGTAGTACTAGGGGTGGTTCCAGCAACATCAATCATAGAACCACTAGCACCCATATTGCTGTTGTCATATTGTGATTGTACATTCTCGAAACCAAACATGTTGGGAAATTGATTTGAGAGGAGCCAATCATTTTTTAAAAATTGTAGTTTTAAAACCCTAAAAAATGAAAATTAATTGTAACTTACTTGGTCCATTGGTCTGGAATCCCAACTTGATTTCAACTGATGAAGTTTTTAAGCCTCCCAAATTGTTAACTTGAGATACTTGGTCTAGCATTCTTCTTGTTGAAACTTGAATAGAGCTGAGAATTAAGGACTAGAGAGCAGGAGATTAAGAGGGTATGAGAGTGTATAAGAGAGTATATGGGAGTAAATGAATGTATAAGAGTATGACAGTATGAGAATGATGGAGGGTAATAGTATTTATCGGAGTTGGAATTGATTCAAATTGATCAAAACACCTTAAAAACTAGTCATTTTATAATTGTTGGGAGGGGTATTCCAAACCTGACATGTCGCATGCACAGGCTGGCATAGCCCACTTTATAGCTCTACATAAATGTTACTTTTGTAAATATTACGGGAGTTGTTTGAATTCACCAGGCTAAACTTACACACTAATGAATCAACCTGATTTTATGCAGGTTAGGTTGGACTTTCATGCTTCAGGTTGGACCAACGTTGACAAACATCAGTCCATTTAAAATAAGTTGGACCAGTGGCAAGGTGCCTAGGAAACCTGATCAAATCCAAACCCATTGTTTTGCCTTTTTCTTTCAAAAATTTGTATATGGTATTTATTACAAGTGACAATGTACAAGAGATTGATGGAATGGCTAAGAGTTGTGCTGAATAGAGTATTTGCAAATTGAGGCTTCTGGTATTCTTGTTTTGTATTCTTATACCGGAATTGACCCTGAACATGACGAAGGTTTTGTTCAGACTACAAAAATCTGGTTAAAGGTCAAAATCTATATCTATGATGTTATGATTCCATACAATAGTACAAAACGTCTTATAAACGATTTTACTTTTGACCCAAAATTGATTTGGGCTCACCACACCACAGGCGATTTAACTTCATATGGCCACATCACATTTTGCATCCTGTTGTGTTCATGGTATTGATGAAACATGAAGAATATTTTATCATTTGGGGTAGGGTTGCAAAGGGATGATGGGTAGACTTTATCATTGGGGTATCCCATGTATTGACACCCTTGCAGCGTCACTTTGTAGTATCCCTGAAGTGGAAGGTGATAACTTGACAAGGTCCTTCCAAGGCAATTTTATTCTCATTTGCCAGTGACCGTTAATCTTGTGAGACCATGGAAGATGAAGCCTAGGAGGGGAGGAAAACCCCTTCCGCCACTAGAAGTTGGGCCATCAATTTGGTGGGCTCCAGCCAAGGCTGTCGGGGTCTTGCTCAGCTAGAGTGTCTTGGACCACATCTCTTGTCAATTGTGAGTTGATTATCAAAGAAGGTATTGTGGGATTTGAAGGGCTCCATATCTTGCCCCTGTGACGCTAACCCTAGGAGCTTTCCTTACAGTGTGAAGCAGCAATGCTGGGGGAAGGCAGAGAAGATCAAACCGAGACCTGGATCGGTGGAGGTGCAACGCGCTCGGCAGCATTGTGTTTTGGAAGCTCGTTTAGGTATGATTTGCGTGTTAAATCCTTCGCCTAAGTTACAGATTACTGTTGCGAACCTGAATCTGTCTGAGTTGCAAGTTGCAACCAACGACTCTAAGCTTCTCTCTCGTGGAAGCGCAGGGATATGTTAAGGTGTAAAACTGGACCTTAGGTGGAATTATGATGAAAGCGGCTACATATTGCAATGTTTAAACAAGTCCTACCTGCCACCTGATAAAATTCAAAGAAAAACAAGTCCCACCTAATGTTCCTTTTTGGATTTTTGCATGCAAATCGACTGTACTTAAGCACGAATTAGTTTTCCTTGCATATTCTTTGTAATAACCATTGACAAATAACAAAGTGAAGTTTTTTTCTTTTTGAAGAAACAAGTGGAGTTATTAACAACTATACTAAAATTATGAACACGACGAAGAAACGTTCAGCGTGAAGCAACTGCTAATCATCTCTTTTAAGATGAGGCGCAACCGTGGATTATTAACGCAAGAAGCACGAGGAAATTTAACAGGCAGGATGAGATATAGAAGATCAATAGAGTGACATAGGTTTAAAGTTTAAACTTTAAATGTCTCGATTTCTGAAACCACCAGACCAGAGAATTCACGTTAACTGCCGGGACGACTTAAAAATCATTTTATTCCTTACTGCTCAGTTCGATCAATCAGACTATGTGACGGATAATACCATGTCAATGTTTTTAGGTAATTAATTACAAATACATGCATCTTTTCAGGAGGATTAATAAACATTCCCTCGTGAGATATAGCTAACATCATGCCTTTAATTTTACAATGTTGTAGAAAAGGATTGCTTTCCAGGTCCAGCTCTCTGACGTGAATTCGCTTTGCATACACATCACCACCCATCAACACGCATGCATAAATGCATATCCTACAATATCAGCGTAGGTCAAATATTTCAAACCTCAGATATGGATTTATATAAATATTATAGCAATCCTCGTAAAGGGGACTTCCATCGGGTGGTTCTTGGTGGGGGTGGAACCCTTTCTCCTGGCATTCTTTCAAGACAGTAATTCCACTAGGGTCAGATAGCCGGAATATTCCATAGTTCCTGTCAGAATGGAACAAAAAAACACCAACATATGGGATCTGTCTTTATTAGTATAACTCTCTAACATCAAAAATTCACAATCAAATATCAACAAACAAAGCATTGTCTCATTTTCAAGAAGTACAAACAGTCATTACGAAATCAACTTAGCAATCAAACCAGATAAGGCGTGATATGTTATGAACTTTTTGCAAAATTAAAGAGGACCAGAAAGTCCAAACGAATCAAACCAGGGGGAAGGGGTAGACACTTTGCAATTTCTGAATTCAGAGGTGATCAAATCAATTTCATCAATGAATTCAGAGTCAGAAGGTGTCCCTATCAAAAAACTAATGATTCCGATGTATTTTTATTTATTTTGGTACTTCTATATAGAGCAACAACTCTTTGGTTTTTTACTCTACGCATCTAATCCGTAGTTGGAAAAGGCACATGCATCATGGGAAGTATATATAAATGGTAAAAAACAATGGTTTCAATGAGTTAACATTTTGACCTAACGAGATAATTAAGGTCTGGTTGTATCATATTTTTAACATTGGAAACTTGGAGGTTTCCAAGCACGGAAAAGGGGCTGGGGCATGGTAAACTGGTCTGGCCGTATGGCATTGACCAGATCTTTCAGCATTGCTTCAACTAGAGCATATTGCAGTACGAGGCTATGAACTTGAGTGCTTGACTGATCTTGATCGGGTGGTTATCTGTTATACAAAGTCTCTGGAGTTGAAAACCTTGTAATTGAACATGGAGTTAATGTTCACCCAATCTGTAACTGGGTTTGCCTCAGAGTATAGCCCTCTCCTTCTAACGTCATAACTTGGGAAGCAACACCTATGTATCTAAACACATATCATCCAACGTTATTAGCTGTATATATTGCACTTCACAAAAGCATGTGCCCTAATCTCCAAGTAAGCTTTATTTCACATTCCGGTGTATGAGCAGTTTACCTTGATTTATCAGTTGGAGCCATGACAATTGCAATGGCCTCGGGTAACATCACCTGAATACAAATTAACCACTATAAATGGGAGGAAGGCCTGGAACTATCACATGCAAAATACTCCATTTTTGTAAGCAATCCATTAAAATAAATTTGAGCATTACTTTTGTTATTTTGGTGAGAGAGATTTCATCAATAAGTGTATCTTGCAAAAGGACTTTAATGGGTAAATTGGAAAAAAGAAATTGAAATCACAAATATTGTTTAAGACCTAAATTGATTGACCAGTTGTTGATTTTCAGGATTCAGCCCACCACTTGGTCACTGCAGGAAAACTGACAGGTCTTGGGCTGAAAAATAAAAATTCTCTATCCAGACAGTCATCTGACCACCTGTTATACAGTATACGTTACCATTCTTAATACTGATCTCAAAGCCAGTTACCTGATAAGAGTAGTGAGTGTGCAAATCTATTGATGACATGAAACAACCTTGAGAAGGATGTGTCTGGAAATAAAAACAAAAAGATTAAGATGTGATCCAAAAACAGGAACAAAGCAATTTAGTATGAGAGTAGAATCACTAGTCCAAGAAAAAGAACACCACCTGATGGGAGTTGTTAATTACATGGAAAAACGTATTTTGGCAATGCCTTCAACCATTCTCAGCAATGGACACAACTATGACAAGCATGTTTAAGCAGTGTTTGTCTAATCAGTGCACAGAAATAAGGGGTAAATTATGAGGCTTATCTCATAGTCGTTGCTGAACTAAGGGCCATATTCTGTAAAGTCTGTCTAGCAGATCTAGTGTCCTGGTTAGTCCCAGGCATTTTTATTTTGGAAAAATTACTGATATGGGCCACTTCAACCTCATAGATACTTTTAAAATGGCTCTTTAGACATCATACAGCCTTTCTATTGATGTTGATTATTGTTTATGAGAAATTTGCCAAAGATGGAGTAGTTTTTTCACTTTATTTTCGTTCATATTTGTATTTTTTCTACAAAGTCAAATTATATTCTTCCTTTGATTTACACTTTTCATCTTTATTTTGTTTAGGCTGTGTTTGGCTTGATAAGAGACAGAAAATTGAAGGAAGTTCTCGAGGAAAACTAGTGCAATGATTTTCCTGGATTATCCTTAGTTGGCACAAGGAATTAAAGTCATACCTTTTTGGTAATCTTCCTTTTTTTAGTTTTTTCTATGGAGTCATGGAGTTTGTATTTAAACCTACTTATATTACACCTCACATGAAGGAAGCAGTGAAAGGAGAATTAATGCCACAAATTGCTTCTTGATAAATTTTCCTTATGATTTATATTATATTTGAAAAACAGTTTGTACTCACATTGATGTTTTATAAGTGCAATTAGAGGTTAGAAAAAAGAAGCAGCAACCATGTAGAGTCTGAAGTCTGAAGCCATCTTTAAAGCTTGCGTTCAAGGAAATGTCAATACAAGAAAGAAACAAATACAACTGAGGAAACACCTACATGGATCCATCCTATGGGAACGAGGGACTGTTCATCTTGTATGGCATAAATCTCCTCCTCATTTAGTGCCTGACACTGTCATTCACCATGCCTGGTTACTTCACACACAGATAAAAAAAAAAGAAAGAAAGAAAAGAAAAAAAAAAGGCAGCTTGCAGTGCCAAGATTGGTCCTGCCATAGAAGATGAGCAGAAAAATTTTGCACTAAGAAAGGGAAGTTCCCCATAGACTTACAGAATTGGAAGCTGACTCCTGCTTAGGCACTATTAAGGTGGTCACATAGAAGGTTCCTTTCTTCTGGATACAGGAAATGGAGAATAATATCAGATACATGAGATAGAAGAATTAATAATATAAAATAATTGGAAATAATTTTCTAACTCTCCTTCATGCTGCCATGCCTGACGTGAGCTCTATAGTTGACAGGCTGCAAAAATAATGCAAATGAAAAATTTCTTGTTCTGATAACAGTTGGGAAGATATTTTTTCTTTCTTTCTTTATTTTGTTTTCTCTCCCCTAGTACCCCACATTTGCCATTGAAAGGAATGCAATAGAACTGATGCTTAGGATGATAGGTCAAGGTGACAATTTGCATTATAGCAATTAATTCACATGTAAGTCAAGTTGTAGGTTGAAGGAAAGTAATGAAAAAAGGAGATCAAGTGCTTCAATGTCATTATGAATGAAGCAAAAGATTGAGTCTCCATAGAGTTTGAACATTTGAGATATTGTTCAAGTTTTGGGAGTGACTGGAACAAGGTATATAGGGAATAAGAAACCCCCAAAATTTTGATACCAAAGGGAGAAAAATAAGGATAATAAAGATGATAAATAATAATTGATAGGATCCTTATTAAGAAAAAATAGGTATAATGAGAAAAAGAGATAAAAATCAAGATAGTTAATTATGTTATTTAACTGTTCTAAATATTCTTAAAAGTCTGAACGTGACTATGAAATTCCACCAAAATTTCAATTTCATACCAGGTCAAAGCATGGTTAAAATCAAAATCTAAATCATTGGTATGAAGTATTTGGATCTTACAAGGAAAGCACCGAGAACCCCACAGGTTTCCAGGTCCTTATTTGTGTTATCTCTAGCAAGTTCAAGAAAATCTTCCATCAATCTTGCTGACTGAAAAACAAATGTCATCGACTTAGTAGCCAAGGCAATCTTAAACAACTATAAGAAGGTACAGGAAAGAAACATAAAAAGTTCTGAATACTTACAATATGAATATCTTGAAGGACCTTAGATTCTGACGATCCAGCAACTGAAGATTTTGAATGGTCATTTCTTGAATCTGAAGTGAGAAGCCAAATATGTGCAGCCTGAGGCATGCTCTCAGTGTGGGAAATAGCAGGAGAAGGGACGGACTGTGTGACAACATGCACATGGACATTCCAATCCTTATCAGTAGTAGCGGGGGCAGAACAAAGGGGTTCAAGTGGTGAGGAATCAATGGCTGAACCGACGGTCATTACTGATACCAACCCAGTTTTCTCTTCATAAATTCTGCTGACATTGTTTTATATCACAGGCAAGTTATACAATGAAAAGAAATAAAAATGGAATACCAAAAGACCCAGGCTTTCTAGAAAGTACCCTCTTTGTAAGTAAGATCCCTGTAAATAACTTTTTCCCAGTTTGACCTAGGTTTCCTACAGGGGGTAAACATTGCTTGAAGTTGGAAAGAATTATACCTCAGACTTTTTGTTACTGCTGTACCACAACACTTGACCTATGGAATAACAATATTTAGTAAGAAATAACCACTTTATTGTTTTTTATCAGTAACAACAGTCACAATAAATTCATCAAAAAAAAAAACAACAGTCACAATAAAAGATAACTACTATTTGAAGAGTAGTAATAACTAATAAAATGGCACAAACCATCACAGTACAGAATCCAGAAGAGAGAGAGAGAGACGGAAAAACGATGACAGACCAGCATGTAGCAGACCAAACCCACCAAAAGAAAAGCAGAATCAAGTATGATACTGTACCCCCCAAGTCTGATCTTTCTACACCTCCTCTAGCCAGCATATAGATCCTTTATCAATAAAAAGGGTGTGTTTTTAATGAACAAAAAACATTACAGAACAGATAACACCCAAAGAGTAAAAGGAGTTAATACACCAAGTACTGTTGTATATAAAATGCGAAACAGTTGTACAAAAGTATAAGACTACATAAAATATGATCTGCAAGCTCTAACATGGACCAAGAGCCACTCCCAAATCCATATCCTCAATTCTGAGAACCAAAATCCAGTTGAGAGGTAGAGAATATAAGAGTGAACATCTACAAATAGTTGCATACAGGATTTTTTTTTATCAGTAACTCAGAAAAAAGATTTTATTAATATTAAGAGAAAGCAGAATATCAAGACAATGTGGAAGATACAAGAAGACACCAAGTGTCTAAACCCCCCAAAATATTACAGCTGAACCCAAAACATAGTCTGTCTCTGAACCCCTTGCTTAGCTAGACCATCTGCTAGGCTGTTGGCAGATCTTCTAACCCAATTGACTTGAATAAACATATCCTAGAGAGCCATTTGAATGCCTAAGAACATTCCTTAGATGCCAAGATACTCCTTCTCCCTTCTTCAACCATTCCACAACTATTGAGTCACCTTCAATAACTAATCTTTCAACACCCAGATCTTTAGCTTTCTCAACTCTAAAAACACCTGCCAAGAACTCTGCAGATGCCACATCACCTTGCTCAATTGGACCTGAGAAGAAAGCACGTATATTTCCTTCATCATCTCTGATTATTCCTCCAATTCCAGAGGGGCCAGGATTGCCCACACAACTCCCATTGAAATTCAGTTTCAACCAGCCGCTTGAAGGAGGTGACTAGTCCACTGTTGCTATCATCTTCTAGAAGAGGAAGCAGCTGCGAAGAGGAATGTTTCTGATAAAGGTTGATTATCTACAGGACAATTCCAGGGGAAGGTACTAATGTTGAAGGCTGTGGAACTCTAATTTCCAGCTCAAAGCTTTGTCTCTCAGGGAGTTAATTTCCAAAAGGCAAAGGCTATTTGAAACAATATGAATGAGTTGGTTAATAATGCTATTTGAAGCAATAAGATAGCATATTGCACTTCTTCAAAGTCTCCAAAGAAATCAAGGAAGAGTTGGCTACAAGGCTAATTGAAGCAGTGAACAGTAACCCCATCTCAAACCACTCATAAAACTATTGTTACTAGTTGATATATAAACATTGTGTTTCGAACCCCATTGCACCATTATTGGCAGTAATCCGGTAGCGACAATTGATACAGCCAAAGACAAAAAAAAAGAGTGAATGGGCCAAAATGCGGTTAATCATATAGTTAAGTGGCATGACTCCAAGACAGTCCAATAGATTATGAATTGCCATTTGCCCCAATATTATTCATTCATCCCCCCCTTTAAAAATGATTGCATGCAAAGTCTAGAAGTAGTAGTCAACAATCAGAAATCATAACCTTGTTCCTTATAAAAYTATCCTTAACTTTTTTTTAAGTCAAAAACTGGAAAATTAGGGATTTTTCCTATGAAAATTGTACAGTTATAATTGACAAGTTCATGGTGTGTTTGTGTTGTGTTATAAAGCAAAGACTGAAAGGGTTACCTTCCCCTTGTTGGAACATGAAAGGGAATGGTTGTTTGGAGACTGAAGATCACGGCCAAGTAGAGGCTTCAAAATTTCCAATTCTTTGACAAACTCCTTATGTATCTGATCCAATATAGTACGAACAGTCAAAGCTAAGGATTGCACCAAAAAATTCATTAATCAACAGCTTGTCAGATTCCAAGCAGTAATCTTATAGTCGAGCTCGGAGCAAGTAAAGCCCTGAGTATATCTAGACAAACACTGTTTCATGCCCCTGAGCACTTACTTGGCTTAAATAAAGATAAAAATAAAATGACAGATAACTGATTCCGTAGTCCGTACCTTGTTGTGATGAAGCTTCTCTTTTGCAGAATAGATAGAGTAACTCCGATGTTGAGGTATAACATCAAAAAGTCTGTTAATGGAAGTTAGAAATAATTTTAGCTAGCGAATAAAGTCTTGGCAGGAAATTGTTGAGCTTCTCAGAAGCTGAGTAAATCTTATGTAACTCTTCAAAATTTAATAAACATCAACTCTTCAAAATTCATCACAATAAAGCATCATCTATTTCAAAAGAAGTAATAGGAAAAATGGTATAACAAGATTAACTATAGAAATCTAAGAAAGATTTCCTTTTATTTTCCAAAAAAAACGAAAAAAATGGAAGGGGAGATTGAAGAAATATATGCCTGCAATATCTGTTGAGAGTTGTGCAGAGATCATCAACGTTTTGGTCATCCCTATAGACCTTGGCCTAATTAAAAAGAGAGGAGCAAATCAAAGAAAAAAAAAGGAAAAACAATAATTATCACAGAAATAAAGATGAAAAGAAAAACAGAGAAGAAACTAAAACCAAAAAAGAAAAAAGAAAATAAAGAGCACACCTGGTTGACGAGTTGATTGGCGATTCTATAGTAGAAAGAGAGCGGGAACCGATTATCAGCTTCAATCTTCTTTAGGGGGACTGAAATTTCCATTACTTCTTGGTTAAAATTAATAAAATATTCGATTTGCTTCGCTTTCTCTTTCTCTTCGCAGTAGGCTTTGAAGACATTTCTAACAGTGTTTGAGTGTGATATAGAAAGAAGAAAGAAGAAAGAAGAAAGAAGAAAACAGAAATCAAAACCCGGGAGATTCCCACGCCACGCCACACCGGAACTTCCACTTCTAGATTTGTATAATCTCACATGAGCTCCCCACAGAGAACGCCCCACATTCACATCCAACCGTGCATGGGAACATCTCCCATGATAAGTACGAGAGGTATTCCCAGTGCACGGTTATATGTGCATATGGGACGTGTGTGGAGCGCGCTTTGTAGAGCCTATCCGAACTCCGATCTTTGTAACGACCACGTGGTAGCGCATGCCCAAAGTTTAATAATCTTAACGTATCAATATCTCAAGTTAAAAAGTTCTAATCCAACGGGTTCAGATCTCTTACCTTTTTGGGTCATCCATTCGGTCGATGACAAGTGTGTGATTAAATGTACTTATATGCACATTTTTAGGCTTTACAAATATTTATACTTATAATTTTCACATTCAAAGAGAAAAGGAATTGGGATATGCTTTTCACAAAGCGCGCCCTACACCGACCATCCGACCACATCCCACTCTGTACCGGGAATATCTCCATGAATAATAAATATAAGTGGAGATACTAAGACAGAATGTGAGGTCGTTGTGCGTTCTGTGAGTAGTAGATCCGAACCAGGAGAAAAAGTATAAGATATCGGGAGTACAATCAAACGGCTTCACTGTTAGTCACCCGGGCCACTGAGTCAACTCAATCCCGATGCGAATGAGAAGGGCAAAGCCCATGATCTGAAAAAAAAAGCCCATGAAAGTAAAGCCGGCTGTTTACGGGTCAGGTTGGGTTGGTTTATTGAGGTTTTTTCAACCGACCTGATTTGGTCGGGTTACTTGAACTTGAAACCGAAACTGACCTAGTCGGTTTGAGTCAGTTTGGGTCGATTTTGGCTCTAAGTTCAATCATGCTTGACAGAAACTCAACTGCAATATATATGTGGAGACTATGACACCACGGTATGTGAGGTAGTGAACACGGGAAAAGCCTTGTTTTTGATAAACAAGATATACCTCTAGTCCASGGTTTGGACTTTGGAGAGGAAAAGAAGAGCAAAACCCATATATAATAATAATGCCTATTATAGAGGTATATATGTTATATATTTTTTCATTAATTAAGTTTTATCTCCAAAACCACCAACCTATCCCTTTGATTATATATTCATTTTGAAGTTTAATTGTCTTAATTGAGATTTGGGTGAATTCTATAGGAAGCTTCAAGACAGTTAATTACAATCATTAATCTAGCCAATGTAATAGATTTGAAGAGGGACAATTAGTTATGGGAGCTTAATTAATTTAAACTTCATAAAGGGACAATTAGTCGGTTCAGTTTGGGTCGATTTCGGTTTTCACACAAGAAAACCGAAGCCGACTCGAACCATCGGTTTATGATGTTTTACAAACCGACCCGTGCTGAAGATAACTCGCCGCCTCGGGTTGGGTCGGCTGGGTTGGTCGGTTTGGTCGGGTTGGGCCTTCTTATGAATAGCCCTAAAGCCCGAAATAAAAATATTTAAGGTTCGTTTGGTTCGAGGTTAAAATCGGATTTAGAATTAGAATCAAAATGGTGTTCTTTTGATTCAAATGGTAATCGAGAATCAGCTGGAATGGAATCTCATTCCCAAGAGAGGGGAGGGAATGACCATTCCCTCAAATGGATAAATGCCATTCCACCAGGAATAAAGATGGGTTACCAGTTCCATCCAACCAAACAGTTATCATTCCAATTCCGATTCCAGATTGTTATTCCCGTAAATGTAACGGACCTTTAAGCTATGTTTATTTTGAAGGAAAAAGTAGGGAAAGGAAAGAAAACCTTTACAAACCTTGTATAGGTTTCCTACTTTTTCCTTCCTTTTCCCTACTTTTTCCATCAAATCAGACATTAAAGTGGAATCTTATATTTTTTTGTTTCCAATGATACCCAAAAACACAAAACACATCTCCCTCCTTATAACTCAAGGGCCTCGTATGCAATAATAATTATTATTGATTAATAATAATAATAATTATTAAAAGTTAATTAATAACTAATTAATACTTATTATTATAATAATTACTCATTAATCATTTATTATTATTATTATTAACTAATAACAATAATTAATTATTAACAAATAACAAATATTAATTTTTAACTAATTATTATCATGATTAGTATTGATAGCAAATTAATTATTAATTAAATATTAATTATTATTATTATTACAATAACTATTATTTATTAATTAATAAGAATTATTATAATTAAAAATTAAAAATTAATAACTTTTAATTCACCATCATTAATTATTAATTATTAACGAATTATATTAATAATTAGTATTAGTTATAAATTAAATTTTAATTAAATATAATTATTAATTATTAGTTGTTAATATTTATTAAATATTATATTATTTAGTATTATTTAATAATTAGCAATTATTATTAATTATTATATAATAATTCTGATAATTAACTATTAATAACAATAATTAATAGTAACTATTAATTATTAATATTTATAATCATCATTATTAAATATTAATTATTTATTTATTAATCATTATAGCAATTTTAATAATGTTTATTTATTTAATTACAAAAAAATTAATAATTAATTAACAATTATTGTTATTATTAACTCTTAGTTATTAATTAATTAAAATTAATTATAAATTAATAAGAAATATTTTTTAATAACTAATTATTAATTATTATAATAATTAGTATTAGTAATGAATTAATTATTAATTAAACATTTATTATTATTGTTATTGTTATAATAATTATTATTAATTATTACTTTATGAGTTATTACAATTAATTAATAATAATTATTAATTATAAATTATTAATGAACTATGATAATAATAATTATTATTAGTTATAAATTAAATTTTAATTTAATACTAAAGATTAATTAATTATTTGTTGTTAACTAGTTATTAACTATTATATTAATTAATAATTAATAATTAATATTAACTATTAAATAATAATAATAATAAATATAATTAATTATTAATTAACACAATTTATTTATGAATCATTATTAATTAATTATTTATCACTATAATAATTTTAATATTATTTTTTATTGAATTACATAGACAAACAAAAAATCTCATATATGGGATTAAAATGGACATTTGACAATTTTTAGAATTCAGAACAACATTCTTTGTATTCAGAGTTCAAAGAAAAGAAAAGTTCACCAATACCAATATACCTCTTAATGTAATCATTGCACTTGTAGATGTCAGGTGTTGGAGAAAATGAACAGGCCCTATGAGATAAGAGGAAACAAACAACCATTTTTTTTTTAAAATTGCAAAATTCCTTTTAAGAGGTAAGAGTTGAGAGGAAACAAACAAGCACTAAACTAATTTCTTTCTTTTTGGCTCAATTTGGCAAGAGTACAAATAAAGTATCTACAATACAAAACCTCGTATCTGTGCTCTTCCCAAAATGTTTCTTTTTTTTACTTTAAGCGAGTGATTGTTATTTGCAATGAGTTGGGATCTGTTGGCCACACTCATCGGTTGTATTGTGGTCACCAATATTATTGATGTGCGGCTTGATGAGTGTGGCAGAAGTGTATTGTGGTGAGCATATCCGAACTCATTTGCAATGACTTTCTCTTTGTATTTATTTAATTATTTGCTCTTATGGGTAAATCTTTAAAACTTGGATTCAGTCCTCATAAGGCTGTGCTTGTATTGTATTCACAGCCATTTACAATTGTGCATTTAAAATATCTTCCCATGAATAAAAACATACAAATACGAAAATATTTTCAATACAAATTGACTATAAATTTGATGTAAGCATTTATGAGGAATGAATCTAAATTCCAAACTTATATGTGTAATGATCATAACCTTTACCCACAAAGACGTTATATATATATATATATATCTCAATTGTCATGTTATCCATATATACCTACAAAACATTACAGCTATGCATTAAGAACATCTCAATTGTCATTTATGAGGATGTGTTTCTGATACAGGTACGTCTTTCTGGCACACAATAACATTTGCATTTACACTTTTTTTTGAAGGATTTACACAATTTCAAAGGGGATAAATAAGGAATCCGTAAAAATATATTAGGTGCTGAAACTAGACCTGTTCATGGGCCGGGTGGCCCGACGGGCCGGCCCGGCCCGGCCCGACCCTCGGACGGGCTTGAACAGGATTTTTGGCCCGCGGGCTTAACCTCGGGCCAAAAAGCCCGGCCCGCATAAAATTCGAGCCGGGCTCGGGCTTTGCCAAAATAGCCCGACCCGAGCCCGGCCCGGCCCGACCTATAGTTAAACTTAAGTAAACCTGGCCTGACCTATAGTTAAACCTAAGTAAAAACCTATGTGATGTCTATTTGAATAAATTTTTTGATTTGAGGTCATTGATTCACTTGTAGATCCATTGTTCATTTAAATAGGGGAAAAACATTTAAATTAAAATAGAAAAATGTCAGAAAATTTTGAATTTCTTTTATTAGGTCGGGCTTCGGGCTCGGGCTTTTTATTAGGGCCGGGCTCGGACCCAAGTTATAGGCCCGTTGATCGGGCCGGGCTCGGGCCTAACAGTTTTCTGTTAATAAAGAGTCAAAGCCCGGCCCGACCCGGCCCATGAACAGGTCTAGCTGAAACCAACATTTAACAATTGAAAATTAAAGGAATATTACTTTATCCTATCTGACAGCTCCATGAGACCTCAAAATTCTTAATACCACTGTATAAGTGGAATAAATTCTAATAATGAATTGATGTCAAATTCATAAATAGAAAGCAATCTATAGGGAACTACTAGTAATTAATAAACTAAGGGTTATAATTTCAAAATTCTGTGGTGGACTGTAATGTACTTTCTCTTTTATTTTTATTATCTATTGCAATAAATCTCAAAACCCGGGGTCATGGTCAAAGTCAAATGGGTTTCTATCACCGTGATTCGAGTTTGATGTGCTGCGACATCCAACCTGGTCTGGGTCTAACTTGGCCCAATGTCTTTGACTAAGCCAACCTGGTTTTCTTAAAACCGTGGCTACACAGCATCCCCAATTTGCCCATGTCACGACTCACGCGCAATCATCAGAACCCGTTTGAAAAATCAACGTTTACTCAATCTCATCTTAAAAGCCAGTCCCACCAATCTCTTCAATTGCAATTTGCAAACCAGAATGTCTAACATGACCCACCACTCCCACCCGATCCACTTCAAAGAATTTTCAGAAAACAATAATCATTAATGGCACCACTACCACCACCATTATCAATAGCAAAAGTTCAAGTAATGATAATAATAATTGAAAATAATGTAGACCAAATAGTTCCAAAATTAGTTGAACACTGATATGTATGTAGTCTCTCTTCCTACCAATCGAGTCAACAGTTATAAAGTGTATATATTCCACAACTAAATCTCTCACATCGTGTGTTCAGCTGATTTTGGACACAAGATCATGTTCAGCTAATCCGGTCTTAAATTCTTGAAGCTGTGTTTGGTTGTAATACTACAATTTTATTTATACTAATACAAATGTAAGGGAATACAAATAAAATAATGCAAATTTTCGTTTAATTTTATTTTAAGTTTTACTTTATTCTACTTCATGCCTTAATTTATTTCATTTGTATTATAAATTTAAAACAAAAAATAGGTCAGAATTTACACTCTAAACATATGCACTATCATAATTTTATGTAAATGCAAGTTTATTTGCATTGCAACCAAATACAGCCTGAATGTGCTGATCATCCAAATGCAACCACAAAGAAGCGAAAGTAGATCATACATGTTCTTGAGTCACATCCATGACCATTTAATGGTCTCAACCATGCAACCATATCTATCTCATTCACCCAGAACATGAATCGTAGTGTTGCAATGTGGATCAAGGCTTCCATGCAACTATGCAAGCCTTTCTACCTTCAGAGTTAGCTCTCGAGTACTAGCAACCAAACATTCTTCAAAGTTATTCCGTCTTTTAGCAGTCCCAACACTGACGTGTTACATTAATTGCCGCGCGGTTATCCACGAGGGTCGCATGAACATTAATGCTTGTTGCCTTGTCCAATTGTCATTTGGCTTTGATATGTATACAGTTGTCATTTGGCTTTGATCATTCAATATTCATCTTCAGGGTAGAAGTCCTTTAGGCCCAGTTTGGAAGGAGTATAAATAGAAATTTGTAGAATGTAAAACCTTGTATTTTGTATGCATTTGCATTCTATAAATTTGCATTTATGCTCATTCCAAACTGAGCCTTATTAACTTAGTAATGACAATGGAGCAGGGGTGGATCGAGTTTTGTATGCTTCCTCACCGATTTCGAAATCAAATGCCCCATCTTGAGCTCCAATGGAGTCTCATCCCCAGTCCCCACAAGGAATGGGGATTTACGAATTTGCCTTATTCCACTCCGGTCATTCTTAATTACATGCTTGCAAATTTATTTATTTTTATTTTTTTAAATATAATATAATATAATATAAATGGTGTCTTAATTCCTTTTCTTTTGCTAAATGAGTGGCAGCTCAATTAATATGTTAGCTGATTCATTCCAATAGAGGCGAGAATTTGAATCCCACTACCATCAAATTTGGAAAGGAAGGTTATAATGTATAAGTGTGATGTTATGCTACTTAAAACAACCTTTATGGGGATTTGGACTATCACCAAAAAAAAAAAAAGCTCAATTTCTCATGCCAAGTCTCACTCAAGAGGATAATACTTAGGGGGTACTTTTTTTTTCTGGATTTTGAGAGGGGGAAAGTTGGTCAATGGGATTTTGATTCCTATTAACCAAGAATCTCATGTTCTTTTTTCAGATTTATATGGGGTCAGGAAAAGTTTATTTTCTTGGGTATTATTTATCCGGATAAGTGATACCCATCTCTTAGATGGGAAATAACTTTTCCACTGGAGGGGGGGAGGGGAATTGCCAATACTTGAATGGGACAAAAATACCCCTTTTAATAATAGATTTTTATAACTAAAATGGTCATTACCTTATTTACATGGGAAATAAAAGAATATGGGTAAATGCACTTATTCGAATAAACCTTTTCTCAAAACATTTACCCTGATAAATACATTTACTTGAATAAATAACTTACCAAAAAGCGAACCTTAATTATTGCATTTCCTTTAGATTCAACCCTTCCTCTCCAACTCCTTCAACCCTTACTAAAAACGAGCCTAGTGCTTGCAGCCTCAGCTCCAATCATCTTTACCAAACATCCCTTTTGGTTACTCTCTCTTTCCCACTTTCTCGTGAATTAAACACTCAAAACTATGTTTAAAAAAACTTGTGCGACGTGGGCTCACGTTATAATATTTTCATAAGATATTATCAAGCTTTGGTTTCATGTAAGCAAATATTGTTAAGTTGTTTGGTAGCGCAGTTATATATTCATTGTTTATTTCTTTTATCAATTTTTCAACTTTGTCTTCTCCCGGAGCTCCAACCCACGAAACCGGATCTCCTGCACATTTTCCTATATACATCTTATCATAATTTGCCACATCAGAATCCCACAATTGAACTTGCCTGTTAGCCTAATCAAGCTTGCCTCTTTGCCAATTTCTCAAATAGAAAGAGGAAAATCTATGCTACAGAAAAATATAGTATTGAAAGAATTTTGATTAATCAAAACCCATTTATGAATTTTAATAAATAATATATGATTGGCTGCCAAATTTATATTTCCATTTGATTCGGATGTCATATTTTTTTTTCCAAATTAACTGAAAACTGATCCGATTCTTCGGTCTTTCAAAAATACTGAACCAATCAATTCAATTAACCAGATTTTATGGCTGGATTTTTTCCATTTTTAGTTTTTGATGAATACCCCTATCTCACATTATACACTATAGTAGAGTAAAAAAAAAAGGGAAAATTTTCAATTAATGTCCTTACTTTGGGCCTAGTGTCATTTTGGTCTCCAAACTTTAAAATGTGACAATTCAGCATCCAAACTTTTAAAACATAATAATTCAGTACTTGTCCTTAACTAGCTATTGACCAACGATTTAAATAACATTTAAAAAAGACATAAATGCCCTTCAAGTGTTATTTAATTTTCTTTATCAATCATCTAAAATTGACAAAAAATTATCAGCCCCAAATCCTTGTCTTTTTTATTCAAGAAAGTTAGGATCAAGTTTGAATGGACATTATAGTGACCCCAATTTTGTTGAATAGAAAAAGCAAATATTTAAGATTGTTAATTTTTCGTCAACATTTAAATGATTGATAAAAAAATTAAATAATTACTAAATTGTCATATTTTGAAAATAAAATTCTGTCATTTTAAAAATTCTGGCACCAAAGTGGCACTACACTCAAATTACAAATCACAGATTACTAATCGAAAAATTACCCTGAAAAAAGTAGCAACGATGTGAGTCCAGTTAACACCTAACCTACATACCCACTCTGACACCAATCTAACGGCTAAAAGACATGAAGGCAACACATAGAATCCTGACATAAATTTGGGAAAGAGATGGAGGTGGATGGTCACATGGGGTGACAGCACTGTTGCAAAGAGATTGTCAAGTGTGAACTTGTGTGTCATGAGGTTGGACCGGATTCACGTTGACAAATGACAATCCATGTAGATGGGTACACGTACCAGCTCTGTTGTCAAACATTTATTACTCAGGTTAGAACAGCTAGCTCTATTCTTCAATGGGTTTAATGCCTTTATGGGATAAACCATTAGAACTTGGCACTTGCTCATTGGATCCTCAGATCAGCCCACCTGTTGCCTGACGGTTACCTATTCTATTAATTTTTTTGGGAGGTGGGATTCGGGGCCGGTTTGTTTGTAAGTTGTAACAGTTATTTATTTAATTAATTATTTTTTTGTTAATTACTCTCTTGAACAATATTTTATCCGTAAAAAACAAAGAAATAAAAATGCTGACTCCGCTGCCATAATATCCTATGTGTACAACGTATAATAACCACGTCACCATTCAGCAACTGATCGACACTTCCCTTTTGATACCACGTTTCAGCCATCAATCACGTACGCTTTCGTCATGATCACTCATGATTAATTTTTTGGCCCATTACAAGATCAAAGAGCCACATTTGTGTAATTACCAGACAGTCCCCACCCCTACCCCTACATTTTTTTAAACTTGCAAAATCTAACATATTCAATCGTCTTTTGCGGATCTCTAATTTAACTACGGTTAGTTTATCCTAAACTAAGAAACTAACCATAGTTAGTAATACGTTGTCTACGCTATAAATGGAGCGAGGGGGTGATTCAGTGACAGATTCTCTCCTTCACGATTCAGCAGAGAATATCCTCAGATAAGGTCTGTCTGCACTTCGAGATTTGATTTCTGCTATCAAAAGATAACTCTTTGGTTCTGTTTTCATGTTTTCTCTTCTAAGGTCTTCATATCCCATCCGCCCTGCGTCTTCTCGTTTTAGATCGGAATCGATCGATCAATTGAGAGTTTTCTTCTGGGTTATTGTTTTCAGGTCTCACGCATGTTGGTCCGGTTATTTAGTTCTTCAAATTTATTCGGTTATGGCCTTTTTTCTTTTAAATTTCTGGGAAATTCCTTATTCCCCCCATGGAATTTGCAGTCTCTTTATTATTGAAGCTGAATTATCCATCTTTTGGAACAAATTCAGAGAAGTTTGGCTACTTTGATACGATGAAACTTACCATCTAAGCTGAATTAACTATTTCCGGGATTTTTGACGAACTACTTACAGGGACATAATCTGTTGACTTCATCTCGTATCCCCTTTGGAGTTTGTGATCGTCATATCATCATTCTCAGCTCGGTTACACGAATTCTGTTCCGCCATTTCGTTCTGTTCAATGCCATATCGATTGTTAAGTTATGAGTTTGCGATCGCGTTTTTCATTTTTTTCTTTCCTTCTTTTTCCCCCTCTCCTAGATATCTCAGGCGACATTTGAGATCCTTTATTAAGCATTTCGATAGAAATTCTTCTTCACTTTGAAGGATATTAAGAACTTATTGACCTTTGCCGATCTATGATCAATGTAGGTATCTTGATTTATCAAGGGCGATTTCGATCAGATACAAACCAAAATTCCTCTTTTCATTCTTTTTCACCTTTTGAAGAACTTTAAGCTTGGAAGTCGCATTTTTAGAAAGTTTACTGTTCTATATTTATTATTTCCTTCATCGGTTCATCCAGCTGCTCTGTTTTGGGAGCTTCCTTCGCTAATATTCGATCGACAATATATTGCAGAGAGAAGACATGGCGAACGATTCAATCGAGGAAGCCATTGCAGGACTGAAGCAGCTTCTGAGGTATATTCTTGCAATTTCTCTCCGTCATCGTGTTATCATAATTCAACATCTCCTTTTTCTAATTTCTACCCCAAAAAAGTCAATATTTCCTCCGCATTTCTACTTTCCACCGGTCTGGATGGCGGAACGTGGATCATGGATGACCCAAAACCGCGTAATTGCCATTTAGGACGAAGACGATCAATGTGCTGTGGCTGTGGCACGCGGGAGTCATGAAAAATTGAATAGTGTGTGTTTGGATGCAGTGAGAAGGGAGAGCTGGAAGCGGTCGCGAAGGCAAAGATAGAGGAGATAACGGCGGAGTTAAGAGGGTCGGTGGCCGATGGAAGTGTGTGCCCGGTGGAGAGGATGAAACAAGGCTTCAGTTACTTCAAGACAGAGAAATTTGAGTAAGTTTGGATTTMGAGTTGGACCTATAGTTAGTTGTTGCTACTTTTTTATAAAGCCACTCAGCCCAGTTTCTACTTTCTACTTTTCTGTCCTATGACCCCACTAGCTCAGAACAGATGACCCATCTCTCCGAATACTAATACGAATACGAATACGGAGCACCTCCGCGGGATGAAACCCGCGTAGCCGCTAACAGTGCAGAACAGACAATGGGTCTTACCAATTTTGTAATTCAGTAATTGTATGTAATAGAAGCAATCGTGCTGTAATTGTGAACTGCCAAAAAGTGGAAAATAAAGACAAAGAAAAAGGACACGGGGGTCTGGAGGTCTAATACTGCGTGCATCGTCCATTTTTCTTCAATAACTTCCATAAGTGGCTGCTGTGTTTTCATCTAATTGTTGCTTTCGGTGTGATCTTCGTTGTGATGTTATACAGGAAGAATCCCGAACTGTACGGCCAGCTTGCCAAAGGCCAGAGCCCAAAGGTAAAGCTTCCTTCCTCCTCAAGATTAAATTTGGCCGTGTTCAAATCCTATTTTTATATTTTTATAAAACGACGGATGGTCAGCTCAGCTGTATTTAGCTGTTTCCCTGCACGCCCCACAGTATCAGTATGGCCTCACATGAGTGTTCTTTTTCCCTCATAAGACCATATGGGGTATTTCCTTTTACGGACCAATTAGAAGATCCCATGCTGGTGGTGGTCTACGTCAGACTAAAGACGAAAAGTACATGGAATTGGGAGACACATCTAAAGCCTGATGGGTTTCCCTTTGTTGTGGAATTATCTCATCTCATCTCATATAAATTAATATATGATTGATTCTAAACCAACTCAGCTTCACATGAGAGTGTGTGAGCTGTGATTTTTGTAGCCAAAAAGAGAAAATACGAGGCTGAATGGCTGATGCTGATCCATGTTTTAGATTTAAGTCTATCATGCTTTAGATTTAAGTCCTGGCAGTCCCAAGTTCCAACCGCCATGAATTTGGCCATTAAGTATTAACAAACAATCAATACATGTAACATGTTTCGGGGATTGAGTTTGTTGGATCTGCTGCCCACTGTCAAGCTACCCACACTTACCCACAAGACATTACAGCCATGCATCAAAAGCATCGATGTTGCTGATGTGCGGCTGTAGTAGTATCATGTGGGTAATAGATCCGTACTCTTCAGGATTCGCGTGTAACTGGGCACGCTTGACCTTTGAATAGAGATTTCAGATTTGTCAAAATAAATACAATTGCATGAATGTTCACCATTTGTCTGAAACATTGTTCATTTTTAAAGCATCCTCCATTTAACGGCATAGCTTAATTTATCACATATATGATGTTCCATATGTGTGGTGTGAGTAGGATTTGTAAGTGATAAATAGCCAACAATGCCACTGTCAATAAATAAGAATCCTATATTATATTATAAATTTATTATACCAAGTGAGTTTGGTCAAAGGTTATATTAACGATGTAGAGGTACTCACGATTTTGGAATTTGTCCTCAAAATCCGTATTCACATACTTTACAGCCGTGTATTGTGAATATCTTTCACAACTGCAAAGGCGGTAATAACGGTGTGAGGACGGATTTTTTTGAAGTTATACTAACAAGTGAAATTCATAGAATCATGGCATAGGAAAATTTTAATAAAATCTATGAATCTCTCGTTTAATCAGGTGCGACGTGGGGTTATAAGGTGACTTTCATACGTGTGGTCTAAATGGATTTTCATATGCTATGAAAATATTCTTCGCCTTTTTTTTGAATTATTATTTGGATCGATATAACTTTGACGAAGTGGTTTGGGTAAATGGGATGCAGTTTATGGTGTTTGCGTGCTCGGACTCCAGAGTGTGCCCGTCGCACATCCTGAATTTCCAACCGGGGGAGGCCTTTATGGTCCGTAACATCGCCAACATGGTCCCACCATATGATCAGGTTCCCATCCACATGATATCCCCCCACATCCCTTCTTTCTAATTAACCTCTTTAACCACCGTTTTGTTTTGCTTATTTGTTTAGTTTCTAACGAAGACTTGATTGGGTTGGTCCTTGTACAGAATAAATACCCCGGAGTTGGGGCGGCCATCGAATATGCCGTACTGCATCTCAAGGTAAATTACTTATTGAACTTAATTACCTGTTCTTTATCTATCCTTTAGTTTAATTTTTTGATAACTCATCAATTCTTTATTGCTTCTTTCTTTCCAAGCTCTTATTTTACTCATCTCCACACACCTTCTTTTATTACTTTTTTTTTTTTTTTATTACGTTTGATTCCCTACCGCACCAAAGACCAAAGCAGCTGGAGTGGTGGAGGAAACATGAAATACTGGTTGAAGAAGGCTAAGCCACCCACCAAGCTTTCTTTTCTATGACTTGTATATACCTACACTCCATATCACATGTGATATGTCCACCTAACCGTGGAAGAGCACATGTTCTTCCATTTGTTGATACCCTTAGCAATAATCTAAGTACGAAAAGATCTGTTTTCTCGGTTTTTTTTTTTCATAAAGTGGGGATCAAATCATCTTGCTTCCTACCTTATTAGATAATCSTCTAACTTCATTTCATTTTTTTTTGTATGTTTCCTCCTAACGTCATTTTATTTTCTATTTTATTTCTCACTCAAATTTTTGTGAGATGAAGTCAAATCTAAACAGAAGTAAAYTAAAATTTACGCTCAACCATTTTGCACTCACACGCGTTTACAACATCCGTGCAAATGAATTTGGAGCCAAGGTCCCGTTTGGTTTGAAAGAATAGAGATCCCAAATCAGGCTATTCCGATTCGAATTATTTGGTTGGGTAAAATAGGAATTCTATTCTGGAATGACATTCCTCTATTTCATGGAATTATGCCCCTTTCTTAGGGATGAAATCCAATTTCCATTACTTGGCCCTTTTGTTGATTCTAATTTTCATTCCATTTTTGTCTTAGCCAAACAAGAATATAGGAATAGATGGGAATAGATCATTCCTATTCCCATTCGAAAGGGTTTTGATTCAGATTCCAACTGCGAATCAAACGGACCCCAAATTAAATGCAATCAAAGAATTAATTAATATCACACAGAAGAGGAAAAGGAGAGCATCTAAATAAGACAAGAAAAGACTGACACTTTTTTTTATAAATGAGATAATGCACAGGTGCAGTATATCGTGGTGATTGGGCATAGCTGTTGTGGTGGGATAAAGGGGCTCATGTCTATTCCCGACGATGGCTCCACCTCCACGTAAGTCCTCCTTCTTATCTTTTACCTTTTTCATCCTTTTTTTATTTTTATTTTTATTTTCTGATGGCAACCTTTTCATCTTTTGGGGTTTCCTCTCTTCTCCCGTAAGTATGATTTTATCCGAATTTAAATAATATATTTTATTCTTTAACAATGTAACCTACTTTTTTTGAGGGTCAACATTTTGTAATAATGTTTCAGCTGACACTTGTTTTAAAAGCTGTCTCGTTTTACTCAGACATCACCAAGAGTGAGTGACACCAAAAATGCTAGTGGTATCAAAGCGCCTTTTCCATCAAAGATGGGGATGACAATGCATCTTGGTCACTTGGTTTTGGTTACACTTTTCATGTGTATTATAAACAGAATAAACATCATAAGTTACCTATAATTTTTTTTGCTCTAAAACTATACGCATATTTTTCATGTATCCTATCTCCATGAAATTAGCGGGAGTTATCTGCAGGAAAGACATCCTAGTGGAATAGCTTTGACTAATCAAAACCTTGTCATGAATTTTGATAAATATCACATAATTAGTTATCGTTTTTATAATATCTTTTAGGGTCAGTTTGGTTCACAGTTGGAATTAAAATCTTTCATAATCAAAATTAAAATGATTTATTCTTCTGTTTAGTTCAGATAGGAATGAGAATGAGAATTGGAATTAACAAGAATGAAATTTTATTTTCAAGGGATGAGAAGGAATGGCTGTTCTCTCAAATGGGAAATGTCATTCTACAAGAAATAAAAATGGGATTCTGATTCCGTTCAACCAAATAATTGGAATTAGAATAATTTATTCTGATTTCGATTCGAGACCCTATTCCTACAAACCAAATGGGGCCTTAATTGTTTACTAGTTTTTCAGGTCATATCTTTTTCTTATCAGAATAAGAACCTAAAATAAAACAGCATTTCTAGATAAAAAGTTAGATAAATGAGGGGAGGACATATGAACTATTGTTTGTTTTGTTGGGATTTGCAGCGACTTCATAGAAGACTGGGTGAAAATCTGTTTGGCCGCCAGGAAGAAGGTGAAGTCTGACAACAACAGTTTGTCTTTCCAGGAGCAATGCACTGAATGCGAAAAGGTAATACCTGCTTATAGTGCCAAAAAAAATGTGTGAAATACAATGATAATTAAATAGAACTTAGATAATTCAAATATCATAGTTGGTCAAATTTGGACATTTGACTAATTGAATCAAATTCAGATTGACCCAAATGAATTCAAGAAATATTCAAATTTGGTCAATTATATAAATCATAATTGATCAACACCAAAAGACCTTACAAGCTGAGCCAGTTGACACCTTCAGAATCATCTGTATACTTTTGCCCCTCTAAATCCTATATATCATCTCGTCCTAAGTTATGATACTGGCCAAATCAATTTCTCCTACCTACGTCATTTAAATCCCTTAACTAAGCATTAAGTAGTTTAATGGGTCGTTTGGCAACAGCTCAAGTAGCTTAAATGAACTTATTGTTTTGTTTTTATTTTTCCTGGGTGAAATAGCAGTAGAATACAATGTGTCATTCAGCCACTTCATTTATGATTTATGTCCACTAAGAAGGCTTTATATAGACTAATAGTACTGTTGGTTGTTTAAATTTCTTACGTAAGCCCTAATTGCACGGATCGGGTTCCAGTGTACAAATGGGACTGTAAATGTTAATCTGATTTGTAATGTTAATGCTTTTATTTGGACTGAAAATGCTACAGGAAGCGGTGAATATATCCCTGAAGAACCTACTAACCTATCCGTTCGTGAGAGATGGATTGATGAAGAAAACCTTAGCGCTGAAGGGAGGATTCTATGATTTTGTTAATGGATCTTTTGAGCTTTGGGGGCTTAACTTCAGTCTCACACCTTCTCTCTCAGTATGAAGTATGAACACCCACCAAGTTAGCACATCAGCGATCCAGCACGTCTCTTTCAGTCTCTTTAGTGCAACATGTATTGAGCTTCGTTGCGCGATAATAAAATTTACAAAAGTAATAAAATTTAAACAAAGCGCGACTCCTTGAATTCTTGTATTCATTAAGAAGTTTTGTATAAAAGAAATCGAGGTGCCCTTTTCATTTCCTGCTCTTGTTTGAGAACGTCTAAACAACTCCAAGGAAGATACCTCGTTGAGCGGATGTGCATTTTGGTCGCCATTTCTTCCTTGGAATAACTTCTGTGTTCAGCCAAAAATCTATGGTGCATGAGCTGCACTACCCAAATGTTCCATTTCACAAAAACATCCTTGGAAGGAAAACTCATCTATCTGATGTGATGAAAGGAGTCGCAAACGTGGCAAATTAGAACAATTGACCTAAAACATCAGGCTGTAGATATCCCTCTTCGAATTCTATACATCATGCATCACTTAACAATTCATGTCCATATATTGAAATTTTACATAAACAGGCTTATATACTTTTTGTGGATGCTGGGCAAATCTTCAATTGGGCCCAAAATTTTTCAGGTGGTATATTCGGAGGACATCGTTTCTTGTCAAGAAAGTCCGATATTTCATTGGACCATGCTAGAACAGGGGCGATCGGATATACTTAGAAGCTAGAACCTAACATTCATAGTGGACCTTGTGTTGATGGGGTTGTTATTAAATCACAATCCTTAACTTACTAGGAATAAGATTTATTTATACAAAAGAATTAATGATGAAGGCATGAAGCCATGAATCATTTTGTAGGTTGTATTGATTGCATTCTCTTTTGAGATACAGTTATCAACGCAATATGCAATTCATCCATCATCAAGGAATTGAGAACCTACTCAATCACTTATTTGCTAAAATACAAAGCAACAAGTCATTCAGTTCAGCCACTTTTCATCTGTGTATGCCACTTTTCCCAAAGTACGTGGGAGATCTGAACTAACTTGACTGCTGGAATTTCACCCAAATAAATACTTGACTGCTGAATGTAGGAGGCCATTTGCCATTGATCAGTGGTTGGGAGGGACAACTATTGACTGTTGAACTTAATTAGAAAAATCCTACTCCTACTGATGTTTCACGCAAAGAAAAAGAGATGCATCATATGACAARCCGAGTACCAAGCATGTGGCATTACAGCACCTATATTGAGACTACATTTCAGAACCTAGGGCCCGTTTGGTTCGTAGGAATAAGGGCCTGGAATCTGAATTAGAATGAGCCTTTTCGTTTCTAACTGTTTAATTGGATGGAATCGGAATTCCACTCTTATTCTTGGTGAAACGGCATTCTCCCATTTGAGGCTCCCTGGTGGAATGGCCCAAACCCACCTTGTTCATAAGGCTTCTTAAATTTGAAGCCCAATATAATTACTTATAAAACCCGATGTGTCTTTACCCCTCAGTGAACTAATTGCTCGGCATGTGCATGGAGTTTCCCTAGTTTGTTGTGTTTGCAAGTGTGGTGTAGAATACTTGCAACACCGTTTCTTTACATACCAACAATGAGGGCCATATGGTTTGGCTTCCAAGTTCAGTGAGTTAATTTTGAATCTTCTTACAGCCTAGAAATTATTTAGCTACATGAATAGCTTCTTACTTGCTTCACTTGTTCTCTGGCACTMGTAGATCACTTGCCAACAAAGGTGATGTTTGGCATCAATGACGATTCTTCTTTGCCGATTATCCAAAAATTGATGATTTCTGGAATCAGTGATTTTTAAAAAATTACCAAAAATTGTCGTTTGGTATCATTTATACCATGTAAGTCAATTTTTGAGAGATCGACCTTGAATCTGTTGGTACTGATTTTTCAAGGGTCAATTATTTTTGCATTAGAGTTATTATTCAATGTTATATCATCCTCAAAAAATCAGAATCAACTAGAAATCAAGAAATCATAAAAGAAACAAAAAAGTGATCCCTGAAAATGGCTGATTTCAATAATCGATTTTTGGTTGATTTCCTGAAAATCATCAAAATCAGCCAACCAAATAGAAATTTCAATGCCATTCATCTAAGGACATGGCTCTAACATGGCAGTGATTTTCAAGAAATCATCATTGATGCCAAACTTCACCTATGTTCCAACACTCTATCAACATCTTGTGACACCGCACATCTCATGTATGAAGGGTCCCACTTTTATGGTGGGCCCCAGTTTCAGAATGAGGTGTGTGGCATCCAATCAAATTGGTAGGGTGTTGGAATGTGTTTTGTTGGCAGGAAATCCCAACTCCGTATTTTGTGAGGAAGAAATCCCAATTCATACTATAGCACGATGAAAACAAATCAGCCACCCACAAGATTGCCCCCCACAATGTCCCACAGCACATCCTAACCATGTATTAGAAACATCTTCTGATGATATCGGAAATGATGATGTCATTATCGGGAAATATTCTCAATACACAGCGGAGATGTGCTGTGGGACGTTGTGGGGGGCTGATTTGAACTCTAGCACGATATAAAGGTTTTAAGGAAGGAGCGAGCTGCTCAATCCGGAGGAGCATCTGCTGCAACCGACGAAATGCAGCATGATCTTGCCACTGCATGCCCAATAAAACACGGCCAAAGTCCACGCTGGATTTTGCTACGACTATGACTCGTTATATTATTGATGGCCATTAAAAGTTGAAGGAGCCTCGGCCAAAGTCCACGCTGGATTTTGCTACGACAATGACTCGTTATATTATTGATGGCCATTAAAAGTTGAAGGAACCTCGGCCAAAGTCCACGCTTTTGAGAGAGGCTGAGATCGTACTACCCACTACCCAGAAAAAGGAAAGAGAAGTACCCAGAATCAGAAAGCGAGTAGGCCAAGACCCAAGCGTTCAATGATGTATAGGAATAGAAGAACGGACAGACTACTGCTTTTCCGCAAGGGCTGATTTAATAGAGAAAAGCTTGTCACCGCCTCACCGGATCCAAAGTTTGGACTCGAACCGATTTTCCTTTCCATTATATTCCACCCATGCATTAATTTTATGACATAGTCAAATTAAGCTCAAGTCACGCACAATTTCTTCCGGGTTTGAAGTTTTTTTTTTTTTGAAACTTTCTTTTGGTTGAACCAGCAACGATTCATCTTTGTTGGAAACAGTTTGAAAAGTGAAATCTAAAGAATATATATAGAATGCTTAATTAACAAATAATAGGATTCCCAAGGTATCATTTAATAATCTTTCTCTGTTGTTTCAGGGAGTGGAACATGGAAAGAGGAGAGATTCGGCATAGAGTTTATCATTGAGGCCCACACTGTGTAGCCTAAATATTTATGGCATGGTTTAATTAAGTAGAAAAGTTGTTGAAATTAATGTGCATTAGAGATCAGCAATGGTAGAACTTGTCCCTTGTTTTGGGTTTGGGTGGTCCTTGTGCAAGCCTAAATATTTATAACTTTTCGCTTTAAACTTTGTTGAAGAACTTGGGACAGCGACTGTACGGTATTGTTGCACTCAAGCCAATTGATTCTTGGGCGAGCAAATTTGTGTAGATTATAGATCATTTGTACACCACCTTTGTATTCGAAAACCAATCCAGTAGACAGCACTCCAACTTCATTTACATTCACTTCAATTCAAAACATTGTTTATCTAGTAAAATAAGTGGTTGGGTGCATCTCTTATTCAGAGATGAAAAGTACTTTTGGAGGCGGCTAAAACTGATCACAGCAAAGGAGTATTTTACTTTTCTATTTCTTGCTCTTTGAGAGAGAGAAAGAGAGAGAGAGGTTACAAGGTATGCCAGGCCGCATCAAAGGGATATCCATCAAGAAGCTCTGTCAAGGTAGGGGAATTTGAATTTAAATCATCAGTGAAAGGCCAAAAAGAACTCTCAAAACATTCACCAACGGCCGGATCTTGTTTGTTCAACGCTTCAACAGTGTTCTGAATGCTTGCCTTCATCAGTTTGGGTTGGACGGGCTTAGTACTGTTGCTGTCACAAGTAGTTGAAAGATCAGAATTCGAATCAGTGGGGAGCTTGAGAACTTCCTCTACTCGATTGCTTTTTTTAGAGCTTGATAGTGACGAAGAGACACCAAGTTTACCCTTTTCCTTTCTTATCCCGAGCTTCTTGCTCAAATGAGTGTTCCAATGGTTCTTCACTTGATTGTCAGTTCGGCCAGGCACTCGGCCAGCGATTAGAGACCACCTACACAAGAAAGCACCGAATTTTAGTGCTATAGCGTAGCTCCACTGCCGTGATGACAGGGGTTACAACAACAGCAACGACAACAATTACTGATGCTGCAGACCCATGTCTGCCACTATTACGCCATACTTGTCCTAGCTAGAACTAGAACTAGAAGAGCTAAGAAGATGGTTGTGCGCAAATTTTGGTCCTAGCTAAACTGATGATTAGGACTAATTCAGCACTTAAGCAAGTCGTGTCCAGAAACTAAACAAGAACCCACCAAAGTGGTTGGACGTTCCTGCTGGGTCTTTACAAGTTCTACTTGGATAAGCCATGTCCACAAGCTTCTGCTGCTGGTTCTAGTTGTTTCTCATAGTACTACTTCTTACTATTAGCACTATCATTATTCACAATATCAAACTAAAAATGATAAGTGCTGAAAGAGAACCTTGGAAAAAGTAGCAACACAACAAAAGGAAAATGGACAAAAAAATCTAGGATATATCAATATATATATAATTATGTATATAATACCCATATACAATTAATTAATTAATTAATTTTCTAAAGTAGCAAATAGTAAAGCTAGATCTAATAGCATAAGAAATGTAAGATAAAACTGTGACGAATCTGAAACAATAATTGTCAATAGGATTAAAACAGGAAAGCTGAAAGAGAAAAGACCTGTTGCCAAGGAGATTATGGAGCCTAATGATAAGGTCATCTTCTTCCACTGAAAATTCGCCTCTCTTCACGGTGGGGCTTAGATAATTCATCCACCTTAACCTGCAGCTCTTCCCACACCTCTTTAAATCTGTTAATACATTGGCAAAACAACCAAACTATCATCTCTACTAAAAGCTTGATAACCCTATTAATACATTTGTAAATCCTAAGAAGGAGGAGGAGGAGGAGGAGAGGAGGAGAAGAAGAAGAAGAAGAAGAAGAAGAAGAAGAATCCTGTAAATTACCTGTCACCTTAGCTATGCGATTCCACTTCCCTTTCCCGTGCACTCGGATGTAGTCCATGAGAATCTTGTCTTCTTCCACTGTCCAGAAACCCCTCTTGTAGTGATTCTTTTCTTCCATTTGCACAGCGAGCACACACACACACAGAGACCCAGAGAGAGAGAGAGAGAGAGGGCTTAAAGTTTGAGTTTGGAATCTTTGTTTGTAATTTTATAGGCGTAGCGTAGCAAAGGGGAGCATTATTCTTGGAACCATTTCACTGTTGATCGTGTGTGTGTGTGGTGCAGCTGAATTTCTTCACAAATCTTCTCTGCTCTAGTGATAATAGCGCAGTACCTGAAAGCTGTCAATCCATGCAAGCTCAGCTTTGTTTGATAGCCAAACATCTCATTTAATTGGTCTGAGCCCTGAGTTCAAATCTGCCCCCCACAAGATAGTGCCCCACGACGTCCCACAACATATCCCGCCGGTGTATTGGAAACATCTGCCGATGATAAGTAACAGAAATGATGAGCATCATCGAGAGATATTCCCAATACACGGCAGGGATGTGCTGTAAACGTTGTGGGAAACTATCTTGTGGGGGGCTGATTTAACTCCTGAGCCCTCACTCTCCTCCGTCCTCCCTCAGCCATTGGCCATGTCCTACACCACCACATTTCATCTCTCTACCTACGTCATTGCCTTAGAGAAAAACAATCAGCATTGAGTATATATTTAGTATTACCCTGGGCCATGACACTGCCTATAAACACGTGCTTTTCACCAAGTGTTTCTCTCCAAATATATGACATGGGAGAATGGAGATGACGCCACTTTGTGTCCTTTTCTCTGAATCCTGGGTCCCCTTTTGTCGTATTCGTTATAATAACTGAAAAGATGCTCAGTTTGTTTGGTAATGCGATCCATGGAATCATTGGAAGAGTTGCATGGTTAGAATTAGAGGGTGTCAATAGACCAGTTCTCGGTTGGACCTTGTGTAAATTAATATCAATTTGAACGGATTGAATTGGATACCCTTCCAGACTTAATGGATCTAAGTGTATGTTTTGAATTGGATCGGATTGAATCAATATCTGATCCACTGGTAGAAGATAAGAATACAGGTGTCAATAGTGGACCAGGTTTGGGTTGGAACTATTAAACATTGAATGGGACTGTTCCAAAATGGTTCAGAGTATTCATTGCATTGGATTGGACCTGGTCCATTCTGCAAAGGACTCCCCCCCACCCCMCCCCACCCGCCCCAGTCAGTTAGAATGCCCAGTTAAACCCAATAGCCTCAGTATTATATATAGCACTGTTCTATATATTATAATTCACAGATCTACAACATGGGTGTTTGAGATTTTGAGGGGGGAGATGCATTCACCCCGAAAAGCTCATGGACTCAGGAGGACAGGACACAAGAGAAGGGAATAATGGGGTCACAAATGGATTGTTAGAGGATTTGGCTGGGCTCTCCATGGAAATGTATTATTTGGGTCGGTGGACAAAATTTATATTGAGAACCCATAAAAAATATAGATTTTCAAATCATTTGATGAGGATCGTTATTTTGTTCTTGGCAGAGAAAGTCCTGGTGGATTTTCAAGTTGCATCTGAATCATCTGATTATACTCAATTTTGCTCTTAGCAGGGAAATTCTGTTCAGTGGTGGGTCTTTTTAGATCTTACAGACAGACACATATGGGCGTGGTTGAATGGAAAGCATCTTATGCGCGAGAGAACTTCATTGCAAAAATATTTTCCTGTCTACGAAATAAAAGCATAACAAAAATAACGAGCATTTTATCATTTTTCCATCCAAGTCTAACTCTTTCTAACAGATCTCCAAATCTTTTTTTTTTTTTTTTTTTTACGTACAATTAATTGTTTTCGTCAATTTAGATAACTATTTCCATGCTCATGTCCCTTTCATGTTTCATCATACATTCAAAACTGTATATAGCAGAAACAACAGGAACTGAATGGATCTAACCCATGGCCCGTCCAATTAACAACCCATAGTGGCGAGCGGCGACCGGCCGGTGAGCTGCTCTTCCGATTATCCGACTGCATTCTGATATATCTAGTCGTTAATAAAAGGTATGATCAGTATCAGTAGGCTTTCTTGATCAGTCTAATAAATGAAGTTCAACATATAAAATTGTCCCCAGGAATTAATGAACACTTGTATTATTGAAGAAAGAGAAAGAACAAACACTACTCATTCATACTTTACATATGGTTCTCTACTTGCAACGCTCTTAATGGCTGAGACCGTGCAAGTCGATCATCAGTGAGTCACACCCGTGAATGAACCGTCCTCTGTGTGGCATTAATCTTTAATTTTCCACTCCACGGACGGTCGAAGCATTTTGGAGAAGAGGAAAGAAACAGTAAAGCTGGCAAAAGGGCAACGCCAATAAATGACGGAAACAGCAACAAAAGAAGTCAGGGAGAGACAGAACCTGAGGCTACTCAACTCACTCTCGGACCACCATCCTGGACTCCACCGATCGATGGACTTATGGCTTGAGGCTCAGCGGCTGGAGTGAAAGTGTGAAAGGCTGAGGCTGAGGCTGAGGCTATGTAAACAAAACGCAATTAATGAGTCGTCCAAGAAGTGGTCCGTCGCCATTTAATGAAGGTTACGACTTTCAAGACAGTCGCAGCAGTGGCATCTCTCCCGGTCGTAGTAGTAACATTGAGTGGATTGATTAAAAGACGAAATAGCCTGAGTGGGTGAGAAAGCTCCAGTCATTTTCGTATGGAAATATATATAGATTTCCTTGCAAGAGAGAGAAAGTGAAAGAGAGAGAGAGAGAGAGAGAGAGGTCAATGGTTTTCTTCAATCCACCCTAGTGAATCTGAAAGTTTTCAAAATCATGAAAAATATAGAGGGATTGAAAAACATATGTACCAATGTATGGTATGAATTGTTGTCTTCGGCCGGGTGTAGATAGAGGGGAGCTTGTTTTTGGTTTTGGTTGATCATATCAAAGGCTTGATTTAGCAATGACGACCCCCATTAGCTGAGTGCTGAGATCGATTGTAACTCTGCGTTCCTCCGAAAATGAAACGTGGGATCTCAAGCCCACGTACACTCTGCTCTGGCTATCAAAGGCTTGATTGTAAACTCTGGCTATCCGTGGTAAGGTCAGTTGATCGACCTCTCAGCTCTCACGTACACCCAGCTGCTCTGTCTCCCAAGTCCCAACCCCGCATTTACAGTTAGGATCGATGTGTTGTGGGGCGCGCGAATGCATGACACTTTTTATTTGATCTTGGGTCCAGCCGGTCTTCACCTTTCACCTTTCTACACAATCAAAGTATATATAGGTAGGTGAAATGTAAATTAAACGAGGCAAAGCAATGAGAGCCGATCATTGAATTAATTGGCTCCTTCCTTGCCTTGGCTCATCTAATGAGAACCGAGTTTAGTTGGCCTTAGTTCAGTTTTGTAAGCATGGGCTCTACGTTGGGAATTCTTTATGACCTTAAGGCTGTGTTTGAATGCCGTATAAAAATCGGTCGATCGAAAAATCCCTTGTGTAAAAGTCCATCGTTTTAAAATTTTCTGGACTGTTGGAGATTTTTAAAGTGAAAATTGATGTAAATGTACACAATAAAATCGATTTTAAATCAAACAAAAAAGTGATTTACATGAAAGTTCAATGTAAACTTTACATCTCAAACAAACAGGTCCATTTTTGCACGGGAAACAAATGCATGTAAATACGAACCAATTACGTCAATTGACATTTACACCCCAATCGAACACAGACTAATATAAAAAACAATGTAAAAATTAACATTAATTTAAGACTAACGAGCCCAAGCCAAGCTGAGCTAAAAGCCTAAAACTCCATCGGTTTAACTTACAGTGTTACCCTCTACATGGACACGATCACATGAACAATAACATTTCTGCGGACTTTGTTTCTATGCACATAACTTCGTATATATATAAAACAAAGCGAAAGAGCCATTTCATCACGATTCACGTATACCGGGTGGTGGAAGTCTGGAAGATGCATGAACCCGATCATTAAAGAAATTAAGGAAGAAGATTTCTGAATCCATTATAATGGAATGAGGCCAAAATAAAAGGAAATAGACAGAATTATTAATTAAGCTCAGTTTGGAAGGAGTACAAATATAAATATGTAGAATGCAAAACTTTATATTCTATATGTATTTATATTGTACACTCCTCCCAAACTGAGTCTTATTACCTTTGAGCTATATATATATATATATATATATACATGAAATGCAGTAATTAATTACTTAATCGGGTGGGTTAGGGCCTAGGGGATCTACTCAGAAAACCATAGTCCACAGATGTTTAAATTTAATGGCCATTGGATATGGAATCCTGTGAATCATTATTGCAGCCCAAATCAGTCCTATTCCCACTTTGTTTTGTCCAATTGTACAAAACCTTCCAAAATAAGAACATTATAATTGAAAATGGGCTTGCCACTTGCAATTAATGTAAAACTAGTACTAAGTACGGAAAAGTTAATTATATATATATATATGAATAAACATTAATGATTTTTATCATCATTTTGTATTACTATTTATAAACTGCCATTTTTTAAGACATTTATATAGTTTACGGGTCCATATAAATTGACCCTTATATGTTAAACCTGTAAATATCATAATAAATAATGTTAATCAATATAACTTTGATAAATTTTGTCAATAAATATTACTGTTAATTATTGTTATTGGCAATTACTGTTAATTATTAGAACATTTTTTAAACACTAGAAATAAAAATTACAAACACGTGTCCTTATATACTGTTAATAGATACCAATAATAAATACTATTTAATCATTTAAAGAATGTATTACACGTGGGATGCATGGATTGTTGGATTTGAATTTTGCTATTTAATCATTTTTTAATTATTTAATCATTTCCCTTTTACCAATTTTTTAATTTTTAAACATTTTATTAATTGATCAGTTTTCTTATTGAATTAGTCAATTTTAATTGCTTGATCAATTTTTTATTTGAATAAATTAAATTATTCAATATTTTTCTTGTTAATTTAAAAACCGAGCTGACCAATTGAATTAGGGGTGGGAATTTTCCCCGTCCCCGACGGGTACCTTGGTGGGGTCGGGGTTGGGGATGGGGCTACCCATGAAATCCTTGATCGGGGATGGGGACGGGGAATGCAATCCCTGCCCCGACCCGTCCCTGATTTATATATATATATAATATTATTCATTTTTAAAATATTAATTATTAAAACTTAAAAAATAATAAAAGTGTAATACTAAATAAGTCTAAAACCCTCGATAGAGAGAAGTCGAGAACTCTCAAATCTCAGCTCGTCTGTCTCTGGAACAGCTTCGTTGATTCGCCTTCCAGCCCTTCCTTCATCTTTGATTCTTCGTCGCCGATTCGCCGACCGCCGGCGCTGTCACCCATCGTCGCCGCAGAAGATTCAGAACCCTAGCTTCGTGCCTTCTCGAGTGATAATAGATAAAGAAGAGTTTCAGTCGTCAGTCCTTCTAACCTTCGCC